TGATTTATCTCTTCTTTTTTTTCATGAACAGGTAAAGTCGGATAGGCGATAAAAGCTTGGCTTGAACTGTGCGTTTCTTTGATGTTCCTCCAGCCTCAATGATATTTTAAGCGAATTTCGCGAAATCTTCCTTTCATTTCTGTTGCTAAACAGTTTAAAAAAAACTGAATATTTCAATATTTCACTGTCTAACATATGTTGAATCATCGGCTAGCTCAAAGTTTTTCATTCGAAAAAAAGTGATTACGAATCATCCTAAACATTTTTGAGAGGAAACGTGATAAATACCAGAAAAAAACTAAATAGACTTTGAAGGAAATGAAAAAGCCTCGATTTTTAAAGTCTGTTTTTTTTTGCTTTTTTTCATGTAATTCCTCATCCGGTTGGTTGAGCTTCCGACTTATTCTGTTTGTTTTTTTGTCAAGTAGCTCGCTCGAAATCGAACTCTGCTGTTCAAAATTTTCAAATTTCGAAAATTTCGTGAATTTTCTTCTAACACACTCCCCTAAGCTCGTTTCATAAACTTGAAAGATTTTTTTTAATAACTGTGAGACTTTATCATCGCTTGAGAAGGGAATTCTTCAAGTTAATAAAAGATGAATGAGATTCGTCATTCTGAAATCTTCAAAAATAGTGTTCGAAATGTTTACATCAATTCAATCTTGCTCTTTATTTGTCCTCAATCTGCCGAGCTTGAATAAAGTTAATGCGGCTATCAGTATTTATCATGAGTTTGAATGTTTTAACGGTCCATGAATTTTTCCAACTTCCTAGATCCATTTCTGCTCCAAGAGGCTAACAATTAGGCTCATAAGAAGAAGTATCGGATTGTGTTAGGTCCGAGTTCAGACGGAATGAGTGTGAGCCAGCGAGCGGCCGGCTCCCAAGTGCCCCAAGACGTCTATTTACGCCTTTTACGGGCGTCTCGTTCTTCGAACGACGCGCTCCCAATTATTTTCTGACAATCAACTCTGCTTAACGTCCGAATTTTCTCGCCTTCTTTTTTCTTCTTGCCACAGGATGTCACCAGCGGAAAAAAAGAAGCTTCAGATTGTGTATATTGATCATTTCTTGCCTGCTTTCACCTTAACCTTGCGCAAAATTTGAGAGCTCTTGAAATGACGTGAAACCCAGAAAAAAGGAAAGTGAAAAAAAGACTTTTTTTCAGGAAAAAAAAATGAATATTATCGCGTTAAAAGTAATTTGGAAGAGTTTGGTGCAATCGATTTTAAGTGACCACTAGAGGATTATCGAGATTTCTTCTGCTAACTGCAATTCGTTCAATTCGAATTCAGCGTAAACACGTTAAATAGAATCATATCACATTTTTTTTTTCATTTTCAAGAAATCTGCGGTTTGAGAGAACGATGAGAGCTCGTTTTTAAAAAAATTTTGTGACTAGAAGCAATTTTAGAGTTCAAGAAATAACCAAATAGCGCGCTTTCCAAAGGCTGCGTTTTTATCGGCTCTCAGATTTATAGATACCCTTTTCGAGACTTATGAACTATTTATAATTTTGGTTGACGATAGTTTTAATCGCAAACTTTTTTTAATTGGTGAAATGGGCATGAAAAAAATTTCGAGACTAAAAAACGTATGCTTTACGCGTTTCAAAAAGAAGTTCACTTTTTGCTTCGAAAGTTACCCAGCGTTTTTTTCACTTCTGATCTTCGATCTACCCAGAACAGTTATATCAATGCTTTCGGGAGCGATGCAATGAGGAAAAAAATAGATACAAAAATTTTCGTACCCTGAATGCAAAAAAAAATCGTTAAATTGTTTCGTCTGGAATCTTGTCCAAAGATTAGTTTGGAGGTTGGTCAGATCTTCAAGGTGCAGCTAATCCTGCGTCCGTCGAACTCCGAAGGCTTCAGCACGTCAGCGGCACGTGCTACGCTTCAATTGTTTTTCTCGCAAGTGCAACTTTTCCTTCTTTTTTTCAAGACTTTGCGGTTCCACCTGTTCGTGGTTTTCGTTTCAGCCTTTCATGCTCAGCCACAAATATTTCATGTTTTGCTCCATATGTTGCAAAAACGACATTGGTATACTTAACCTTTTTTCTGAAGGTTTGTCAGCCACGTAAATAGAAGTATGAGTCAAATAAAAATATTTATTCACTTCTGTTTTGATCAACTCTTTCTTTTCGTCTTTTAGTAGTTGGAATTTTAAAGATTTTTCTTATTTCTCTCATCTCAAGATAAAATGTTCCTGGCTGTTTTTTTTTAACAGGACGCCACTATCCTTTGTGATAGGAAAGTATGAACAGTGCTGACTTGTAGTTCTATTTTCACTTCATTTTTGTGATTTTCGTTGTTTTAGTCTTTCTGAACCAATTGACGTTGTTGACAGTTCAAAAAGGCCCTTGTTCGACGTGCGCAGGCCACTTGAGACCTCGTTAATTCTCGTTCAAAAATACTTCGAATGAGTGCCACGATTTACATTGACATTTTTGTCCACACAAATGATTATTTTTCGAATTGAGCTATCAACTTTCTACTAGTGTTTTCAACCACATAAACTTGCGTTTGAGCAAGGTTTCATGACTTTTCGTCATCATGGTAATTCGATATCAGTGACGACCGGCTCTTGAATTGGGATTCTGGACCTCTGAATCGTGGTGTTAATCCGAACGGATTAACGCTAATTTGCTTCTTCAACCTCTCAAGGGCGGATCAGCAAAGCTTTTCCTATTTTTTTTTTCAGAAAAAAAGGCTTTTTCATATCCCCTTGTCCAGGGAACGAGCCTTATTTGTCAGGTGGAACCGCGAAATAGAATCTTTCTTGAAAATAAAATGCGCTGGACCGGAATTTTTTTGGATTCGGCCTCTAAAAGCTACTGCAGTTTTTTTTTCCAATCCAATATGGACTCTATTTTTTAGCAAAAAATATTGTGTCAAAAAAGTTTTTTTACTTTTCAAATCGTTTCTCATCTGCTGATCGTCTTTTAAGTTCTTGGTCAATGAGAATTATGATACAACTAACTAGTAGACACCAATTTTATTCGTTCGGATGGCTCGAAGAAATTTTGCGTTTCGTAATATTCGGCTGTGTGGCTCGCTACTCACACGGGTTTACAATTACCCTAGGCCTTGCCTTTTTCGCTTTCTCTCGGTTCGAAAATGGACCTCGCGCACATGTTGTTTTCCACCGCACAGCTGCTTGTCTTCGCCTTTCATCTCTGTACTTTTCCATCATTTTCTGTCTGTCGATGGCGATTTCTAAGGCCAAAGCTCTTTTTTGTGATCAAAACTTGAAAAAACTGTTGTTTAGAACTTTTCAAGTCCTTTTCCTTTATATTATCGGCGTCATTTTATTTGCCGAGACCCTCATTTTCGTCGATGAGATGTTACTAAACTGACGTTGCTGTAATGGTAGAACACCAAGATTCTAATTCGCAGCGAGACACTTTTTATCAGTTAGGCGTTGATTTTCTGAAAATTTCTTCTTGAAAAAATCACATATTTCTTCTCTTAACAGAAATAAATCTTTGACCATTTTCAAGTGTGACTTCAAATTTTTATTTTTTTCTATTTCTTTCAGAGAAGTTTTTTTGTTGATAAAATGAAGATTTAATTTACAACAGTTTTCATAAGTTCTAACGGAGGTCAATTTTATTAGTCTGTTTTTTCTCATCTATTCCAATAAAATCTTCGTTTCCCGTTCCTTTGTCGTTTGAACTTCAAAAAGACGACGTCGTCGAAACCAGCCGGTGACGTCCAGGAACATCGTTAGCCGGCCGATTGGATTTGGCTCGTTGGCCGTGTGTTTGTGCCTCGGCGCCTCTTCTTCTCGTACTTGTTACTCGAGTGTCAAAAGCGAATTACCGTTCAGAATTCCGCCCACGCGGCGACTTCTCCGAACGCTTCTGAAATCTTTTTGTGCCTCTTTAAACGTTCGACCGCCGTGTTTGTTTCAAAACTGTACCTAACATGCAAGAGATCTTCTTTTAAGTCTTTTAGTTCATTTAACGTTTCTATTTTTGAACGTTACTTCCATTCATTTCTATTATTTTCAACTCAAAATCTGTGTTCAGTTATTTTTTTTTCCTGCAACTGTCCTCTTGATTTTCTTACACTCCGTGAAACCGGATGGTTGAGAATTTCAATATAGGCACACAAAAATTCTGCCAATTTGGACTTTTTTTAATTTTTAATGAGCACTCAGCGGCTAATTCTCGTTTTTTTTTTCTGGATAGTTCTTAGTTTTACCTGAAATATTCATTCTGATGGTTTTCAAAGTGCCTCACATATTTTCTCCAAAACATATCAATTCATTGGCACCCATTTGAAGATATGGGCCTGTATAATTATTTTGTTGACTTCTCTTTCGTCGTTTATTAAGCGCTCCTTCGATTAAATAAGCCGAAAAAGACTGTCAGAGTATGGACTTGCGAGCTGCCCAGGGGAAGGGATGAGCGAAAATGGAGTACGACGGGACGAACAAGCCGATCCAACCATTCGGCGTCGTCGTCGTCAGCAAACTTCAAAGGAAGCCCAATAGTCCTTTGACAGCGTTCGGCAGGTCCGAATCCAGTCGGAATGGGGTCTTTTCAAGAAAAATAGCTCTTTTCAAAGAAAATACTTATTCAGAGTGTTTGTTTTTCAGTTATTGGAAGCCGGAGCCGTCGCCTTCGACGCATGAGCCGCCCGTGCAACTCGATCATCTCCGGAAAGAGACCGTTTGTCGCAAAGAGAGGTTTCTAATCAGAGAGAGTCGCAAAGAAGTTATATGTACAATCGATGATCAGAAGACAGTGTTATATCAAGCACATTCAATAGACAGATTCATCTTTCGTTACTTTGAAAAACGTTCTCATTGTTTTCATGCCTTGTCAGAATTTCAATTTCTCTTGATCCTTCATGAAAATCGCGCAAGAAAAGTTTTGCAGTCGAAGCGACCGAACTAATAAAATAATATTCGTTTATTTGATCTCGAATGTTTTCTTTTGCAGTGGGAGCCTCGTAGACACTGTGGTGACTACGGTGGACGGCCAACAGTACGACACGAAACAGTTGGACGAAGACCCTGAAGTGGACACTATTTCCGACTGGGCTTTCCCTATTTTCCATTTCTCTAAACGATACCCCACCACAATTCTTAGTAGGGTCAGTCTCTCATGCATCCCTTTATTCCAGATTTCCAAAAAAGCCACGAAAATTAGCGTGGCTTGAATAAACTGAGCGAGCTTTTTTGATAGTACCAGATCAAGTTTAGTTGTAAATCCCCGCTGAATTATTAACTGTTTGATATTTTCTAAAAGCTCAAAGATTTATGACTTACGAGTTGAACCAATCGAGTAAAACAATGAAATTTGCAGTTAACGTATACAGTATTTCGACAAGCCGAGCTTTTTCGGATTTTCAAAGTGTCGCCCATCAAGTTTTTCAACTTTTTCCACGCTCTCGAAACCGGTTATTGGGAAATTCCTTGTGAGTTATCTTTTTCGTTCCGATGATGTTTTTATAAAAAGATAATATTACAGACCATAATCGAATACATGCGGCAGATGTGCTCCACGGCGTTTTTTATCTTTCTGTCCACCCCATACGCGCTCAAATCGGTTCGTTTTTTCTACAATTTTTCAGTTTCACTATGCGTTTATGAAAGTTAGCTTGACCAGAAATGGGCTTTCCAGGATAAACGGTGTTTTCAGGCCCCCCTCCTTCTCCGGATTCTCTGCTGCCGCCTCCGGTCGCTCAGGCACAGCCCATCATGAACGCCATGAGCACGCTCGAAGTCAGTTTTTCCTCATCTTTTGAAAAAGTGGATCCTCAGCTGAGATGTTCATGATTTCTGTTTATGAAATGTTCAGCTTTTCTCAAAAAATGGAACTGAAGGCTAGAAAGAGCTCAGTTTTAACAAAAATTATCCAAAAATTTCAATGTTACTGTGATTGGCTTGCGGCACACATCTTCATTACCAAAAGGTGTGAACCTCTGATTTAGAACGAATTTTATGGATTTTATTTTTATTTATTTTCGCGAGAAATGAGATCAGCAAGTTTCGAGAAAGAAGCGATCAGACTTCTTTGAAGAGAGAAGGACAAGAAATCTTCCAAGTTTTCAGTTGATGGCACTGTACACGGCGGCGGCGATGCACGACTACGACCATCCAGGCCGGACCAACGCCTTCCTCGTCGCCGCTGAAGATAAAAAAGTACCGGTTCCACTTTCTCAAACTCTTATTTGAAATCAGAAAACAATCGTTCTTCTTTAGTTTTATAATTTATTTCATTCTTCGTGCTTCTAGGCGATACTCTACAATGACCGGAGTGTACTGGAGAATCACCATGCGGCCGAATCCTGGCGTCTTTTGTGCCAAACCGACAACTGCTTCATCGAGAACCTCGACGCCGCCGAAACCAAAAGGTAAACTCAACAAAAAAGCATCAGAAGACATTTTACCCCTTTCAGGTTTCGATATTTGGTGCTCGAGTATATCTTGGCGACGGACCTCAAGCAACATTTTGAGATCATCATGACGTTCAATGAAAAGGTAATATTTAAATGATTTAGAAGAAATTTTTTTAAAAAAATTAGTTTTCGAATATTTTCATTACTTTCCAAGATTCCGACTCTATGAATGTAAAAAAATTTCAGCTCCCTAGCGATAATTAATTTTCTTATTAAAAATTTTTTTGCTTGGAACCGATTTTTGTCATGGGGGAGATTCTCACCAAGAAGTTTAATTGCGGATCTCAGAACACACATCGTTCTGCTTTCTAATTCAAATCATGAATGTCCTCATCATTCAACTCGGTTTCTATCATTAACTTTCTAGCGGTGAATCAAATACTGTCCAGATCTTTTTGAAATGCACGTATTCAGACAAACGACATGGACCTCGGAAGCGAGTCGGATCGACTGCTTTTGGCCAAGTTGATCATCAAAATGGCCGACATCAACAGTCCCACAAAGCCCTACAACCTGCATCGGCAGTGGACCGACCGCATCTGCGAAGAGTTCTACGAGCAGGTTTGTTTCTCCGGGGCTTTCCTTCTGAATTCCGATCTGAAGGGCGACGAGGAGCGGCGGCGCGGAATGACCATCACTCCGTACATGGACAGAGCCGATGCGCAGGTCGCGAAACTCCAGGATTCCTTCATCGCCCACGTCGTCAGTCCCCTCGCCGTCGCCATGAACGAGGTAGCCGAGCAGACTGCGCACAAAAAAAGAGGAAAACAGTTCCTCACAAGGAAGTTTTCCAGCTTTTCGTAGAAAATTCAATTATTTTCTTTTTCCTCCTTTTCGCTTCTTTCATGTTTTTCGAAGTATTTCACTTTCAGGCTGGTTTGTTGCCCGTACTGCCTGGACTCGTGGAACCGGAGATGATGATGAACCTGAAACACAACCATCAGAAGTGGCTCCACGAGATCGACTCCATGTGTCCGACCAACAACGGTTTTTATAATGATCCTTATTCTCTTAATTGTAAAAAAATTTCGTCCTCAATGACGCGTAGTAATAGATTTAAATTAAAAATTTATATTTTTTTATTTCGGTAGCTTTTTTTGTGGGTTAGGTTGAGCCATTGTTGTGCCCAAGAAATTATTTTATGGGATGTGAGTTAATCAGAAAGTTTCAGTTCTCCCGTCAAATATAGCGAAATAGTCTGCGAAGATCACTTAGGACCAGTAGCTAGCTAAGATTGAAGGATATTTTTGGGGCGCGGTCATTTGACTTTCGAAGTTTATGAAAAATGCTGGTTTTGCAGGTACGATGGGCAACGGGGTGATCGAAGAGGAGAGTACGGCGAGCGAGAGTCCAGATCTGCGGAAAGACTCGCCGTCGCTCGATTCTGACGGCGAAGTGAGTAGTGGCTTGCCGTTGCGCTTCCGCTTTGCTTGACCTCACTTTCCATCGCATGAATCTTTTTCCAGGCTCTTTCCGGGAATCCCTGAGTTGGTCTGGAATCCTCGGCAAAATGTCGTTTTTCTGAGTTCTCAGTGCTCGGTCGGTGGGTGACGTGTAGCCTTCTTGGTGCTTCTTTTCTACTTCCCCCTCCTCCTCCTCTTCTTTTCTGCAAGCCGACTGCTCCTTTTCTATCTCCACTGCTGCTCCCCTCATTCTGTTATCTTATCATCGCTCCCTAAGACTTCTCAGATTTTCAACTCTACAACATCCTGACAACAATATCTTCTTTATACTTTAGGTTAGACTAATTTAAAAAAAGTTTCTTGGACGCCACGAGTTTTCTTTTTCAGATAACAGTCATTTAAAAAAAAGGTCAAGAGTAAGTGAAAATTCAGAAATTTATCAGCTTTTATTAAGTTTTTGAAAGTTTTCGAAAGTTCAAAGAATTTTGGATAAAATTTATTATTCTGCCTCTTATGAAGCTACAATAACCTTTTTCTGATATTTTTATTTTCCTTAATTCAAAGAATTTTATGAGCCTTGAAAATAATTTCTTTCGAGTTCAGGTGCCCGAAAATAACTAAATATATCAATACTTTAAACTTTTAGATCTAGAAAACTTCGAAAACTTTATCGCAATGGCATTTTTAGTTGCAGGAGCAAAACTTCGCCATCTGCTGCAGTATTCAGGAAACTGCCGAGGAATATCTCTAGAGATCTGGTAGTCTAGTGTTTTTCTTAGTAGAGTTGAGGTAGACGGAGATTTGCGTCAAATAAACTGTCGATTTTTGGTTCGATTCTTATGTTTCCCTATCTCGCTAACGTCGTGTTAACTTTGCACTGGTATTTGCCTTATTCTTACCGTTTTCCTTACCGTTTCTTCTGTTGTCAGATCCGTTCGTGTAATATTTTCTTGTTGACTGTAGATTTCCCTTTTCCTGAACTATGGCCTGTCAAATTTATTGAAAAACTCTTCAATGTGATCAATTTCTTCGGTGCCACTTGGGTTTTTCCATAAAAAGCAAGTTTAATTCCAAAGTTTCCCACACAACGATTCTGCTATTTCCCAAATTACCTTCAGAAAATTACCAAAGTTTGTGATCTCTCAGACTCGCTGCTTATTCTTGTCTTTTTCAACCTTTCTACTTGCCCCTTCGTAGCAACGGTTTCCCCACAACTAACCTTCTTTCCGGTCGTTTTTTCTCATTTCTGTGTTTTCATTCAAATTTCTACGTTTCATACATAACGGGCTTTACCGCTGGAGGTTCCACTTTTAGATTTTTTTTTGTATATCGACTACTAATTTTGAGCTTTAAGTAATTCCTGAATTCTCTTATTGCACTTTTTTGCTTCGAGTTGTTTGTTAGATTTCTATGACTTTTTGTATTTCATTAAAAAAAGATTTTTTTGTACTGTTGGAAACTGCACCAACGTAAATGAAACACATCACAGGTTAAGAGAATTTCATAAATCTGAGAAAGTTTCATGATATAAAATGTTCTTGATAGCGATTTCCATTCATTTAGAATGTCTCTTCGATTTATATTTCACGATAAATCGATAGAGACGAAAACTTGGAAGCAGTCTTCGAAAAAAATCTTCAAGACCTTTTTTCGCTACTTTTTCTATTTCGAGTCGTTTCTGATATTGAAAAAAATATTGAAGAAAGGAAAAATAAAAAATAAGCGAAAAATCCACATTTGTGTGGGACCTTACAGATCTCAGATAGGCCTTTCAAAATATTGATGTTTCTTCGAAAAGATGAAAAATAGAAACTTTATTCATTTTTGGTTTTATTAGTGGAGTTACACGTAGAAGAAACGCAACCAGTGCGAAGTCTAGGGGCTCTTGGCGGACTTGATCTTGTTGAACCAGGGGTTCTTGTCGAGATGCTCGTGGAAGCAGTCGCGGATCTCGTTGAACGACTCGGTGCAGAAGACGTAGTCGGCGTAGTTGCTGGGCACGCCGTCTTGGGCCGAGCAGTACTCGAGACACTTTCCGGTGACGCCCTTGTCGACGCAGCACTTGGTGTGGTCGTGTCGCAGCGAGGCGCAGTCCCACATCTGTCCGACGGTCGGTCCGCGGTCAGAGCACGTCGACAGGTAGTTCAGGATCTGCAAATCTTCCCAATGATCAGCCGATCTCGAACAAAACTTTAAATGTCAATGACAAGAATAAAGGCAACTAACGTTGGTCTGAGAGATGGCGTTGAAGTCGCAGAAGCGGTCGACACACTCCTTGTCGGCGTCCGTGAGCGTGGCGCAGCACTTCTTGAGCTTCTCGTTGGGCGTCAAGGCCAGAACGGCGAAAGGAACGGCGAGCAGCACCAGAAGACGTGACATGGTGGCGGACCAAGTGCAGCCTCACCGCCAACCGCCGCTTTTTAACACCCTCGTCAGGTCGTTTATCACTTTTCTCGGCCTCGATTTCGTCTACCTTCAGATCTGGGTCATTTCAGGCCGCTGTACAAATGTTGCGTAGGGCAGGCTGATCCCCGGATCTGACCTCCTTTACTTTGGAGAGAGAATAAAAGAATATCAGTTATTTCTTGCATTCCTTATTGAAATAGTTTTGGTGGGGGGATGATCCTAACCTCTTCTGATGAAGGCAAGCAATTTAAAAAGTGGTAATGCATCGAGGGCAGGACCACAGAAAATAATGGCGGAAAAATCAAAATTAAAATATTTTAACTAGTCCAGATTATTCAGGTTAGGCTCTGGATAAGGTATATTTCGAACAAGTTATTGAAAAAAAGTGATGCGATCACTGAAAATTTAAGATGGAAATTTTAAGCTGTAACCCCTTTTGAATATTCACAGTTCAATTTGATGTACTGTCCTCAAATAAATGTGATGAATGCTATTTCTTGCTTGAATGCTATCGCTACTTCGAAACTTTCAAGAAGCCTACCAAAACGTTTTCGAGGGAATTTGAAGCTTGTCGAATGGCAACTCGAAACTTTAAATGCTACTCAGAACGTATTCTTTACATTATTCCATTTAGCAACAACTTGTTTTTTTCAAAGTTTCATGTCATGAAAAATGGTCTGATAAGCGCCCTTGAAATAAAGGTTCGATGATCTGGCGAAACAATATTTGACCTCAAAACGACTGGTTTTTCTGGTTCTTTTTTTTTTACTTGCGATTGAAAAAAGTGCACGTTTTCTTTCAGTCAAGAACTGTGATCAAATTTATATTTAAAAAAATATAATGGAAGCGTAAATTTTAGAAAGGATGAAGGTGTTGTATATAACATTTTCTCGTCAAAATGTATAAAGGGGTTAGTTAATCTACCTCGTGATCGTTTTCCTCTCCTGAAGCACCGCCATACCATCGCTGTGTTGCAAAAAACAAGTGATCGATTTTTAATTAAGATAACATATATTTTCGAATGGGAGCTTCACTACTAGTATATAAAACCCAATATTCGCTTGAGCGTTGTCGGCGCCCCAAACTTGCAAGTCGATTAGCCGAGGACCTTGGCTCATACCAATGATGATCAGTGGACTGGCTGGAAAGACATATCCGTTTCTGTGTGTGACTGTTGGAGTTCCCACTACCAACATTTCTCATATCCCTTGGTTGGGTCGAGGCGGAAGTCGAATTTGTGTCCATGTGGACCGTAGACAGGCACACAACCTGTTGCGCTACGGTATTGGTAAAGGCTACGGCACCCTTTATAAAACAGAAAAAAAAATTTTTTTTTAAATATGAAAACTAATTTATGTTTAGAAACTATGATGGTACGACAAAATCTCGTCCGCAAATCTTGAGGACCGTAATCTTGTGTACGCAGATCTAATGTCCCATAATCTTGGGAACCAAAATCTTGGAGATTTAAATCTTGGAAACCACAATATTGGAAAGCGAAAATCAACGCTTTTGCGAATAGATTTTATCAGAAATTGTATTCGGTGATCGAAACAAGAGAATACAAGTAGATAAGGTACAACAAATACGACTAAAAAGGGAGATTTTTGCTTTCCATGATTGTGGTTTCCAAGATTTTGGTCTCCAAGATTTTGGTTTCCAAGATTATGGGACTTTAGATCTGCGTACACAAAGATTACGGTCCTCAAGATTTGCGGATTTGAAATCTTGTCGTACCATCGAAACTATCTTTGCTCAGGGGGAAAATGGCATGCCAGCGCACATCTAAAACAAAGAAAACGGCAGATCTGCTCGCATGCACCAGTTTACAGAGAACGGTAAACTTGCCAAATTCATGCCAAATCCAACAAAACATGCCAAATTCAACAAAAAAAAGCAGACCAGCGCGCATGTAACCGCAGGCCAGCGCACGAGTCTGGTCTCTCCAATTTTACCGTTCTCTCTAAACTGGTGCATGCGAGCAGGTCTGCCGTTTCCTTTTTTAGATGCGCGCGGGCATGCCGTTCTCCCCCTGAGTGCGCGTGGCATCTAGTGCGGCGCCTGCATTGCGTATAAAACAGTAAACCACACGAGTGCAGGCGAAAAACAAAAATTTTGCAACGGGATTTCTTGTCACGACCTCGCATTTAAATTTCTCTCGTACTAGACTCGACATTTTCATATTTTTAGTGTATTTTTACGATCTCACGGATATATACGATCATATGATGTGAAATTCTTACTTATAGTCAATTTCTATGGTTTATCATAGTCACGATGATTTTGCACATGTTTTTAAAGTTTTATATGATAAAGGTTTCTTGTGGTGTGAATCAACTTTCACGAAATTCGTAGGCGGCGCAACTGAAATCATTGTCAGGTCCTTTCAATGCCGTACTTTTCTAACCTCGTCATTCGTGAGGAAACCGCGTAATGTTGGAAGGAAAAGTGCATCGCTCAAGTTTTTCTCAAACCGATCCTTTGCCCTGCAGGTTTTTAGATTCAAAACAAGAATTAATTCAAAGAAAGTTTTTCAGTCCAATCAACTTTCCCAGCATCTGATGCAAACTAGAACGCTGTTACTATTTCCCATCAAGTTAAGACGTGAGTTTTTTTTTTCAACGTTCCGTTTACATTTTTGCAATTCAGTTCTGTTGAAAATCTTTTGAATAAAGCTAAGAAGATTTTTATTGTGTAATTAGTACACTCCTTTCAAAAATTCGAACAGATTGGTGAGATTCTCGTTGTCATTGACTAATTTGAACTCATTCGTTTGAACTTATTAAGTTTTAAATTATATAATTTACCTCTGGGCGGCAAGAAGATCTTTGTCGTTGAGTGCAAGTTCCCGTTCCAACAGCAGCTCACGGAGCCCGGCATCACGAGCTCGTAGCTCAGAAATGCTCTTTTCGATAGCCGCCGCCTCGGCATAACTGACTCTTTCTTTTAATATAAGTACTATTGGAATTCAACTTTTTCTTCCCAAATGTTTTTTTCTCGCGCTTCGTTTCCAAAAAGACGAACGAGGTTGTTGAACTCGGCCATTTTAGTGCCAAAAGTAAACCTGCTATTGAAACGTGACTCCTATCTCAAACTTTTTGTGATTCGGATGAGAAACTAGTTTTCAAATAAAAATCTTGAAATCAATCATATCATATAGGCTACTGAAAAAAAAATTAACAAATCACCTGTCGACTATTTTTCTTTCTTGGCTTTCTGTTTTCGCCACTCTCAAATTCGTCAATTTCTTCCAGAATTCGTTCTTTTGACCTTAAAAAAAAAGCATAAAGAGCTGTGAAAAAAAAATCCTTCACAATTTATCTTTTGACAAATATGTGCTCAATTTCATCAGTTCGACGAAATAAACCAAAAAGGTGTTTATTATATGGAAAATACATCGAATCAACAAAAAGAACTTCAACAAACAGAACTGAAAATGAAAAAAGAACGAAAAAGGGAATGGACACATATTCACACGGCAAAGCTCTTCTACCTTGGCGTCAGTCTGACGTCATTCTCTAGTGAACTCTGAAAAGAATAATTGTCTGCAAAAACCGCTGTCATATCTCAATTCTACGAATATCGATAGTATTGTGGCGTTTTCAGTTTATCTGCACAAAAAAAAGTTTCATTTTAAAATGAAGAAAAAACGGAAAGATTGCTACGTTTTTGGAATGTTTTTTTTCTCTCTCTCTTTCAGCAGAATATTAGAAAGTGTAAATGATAGTGAGTTTTTTAAATCAAATTGAATTCATTTTCAAAACCGCTCTATCTAGAATTAATCCACGAAGAAAAACCTTTCGTTAAATTTTAAAAAAATTCTATTTTTTTGGTCTTTGACCATGGATTTCAATATCCATTAAGGGCGATCGACTTTAACTTTCAAGAAAAAAACTTTTTTTACCTTTTTCATCTAGAGAAGATTCTTTAACAGGCTTATCGACGGTCTTAGAGTCGCTCCAACTCTGCAAAACAAAATATTAAACGTTTATGTCAATGGGCAGAACCTCCTGCAGTTTCTTGGACTTGTCGTTGAGCCGCGTGACCATATCCTTCGAGAAAAGAATTTCTTCGTCTTCTTCGTCGCTTTCGAACCAAATCTTTGTTGTTTTTGCTGTTTTTGGCTGCGCTTTCATTGGCATCTCCTGAATTAATTCATTTAAAAAAAAGTATTGAAAGGAAGTTAAAAAAAAAAATTAAAAATCACTGAAAGCAAGTAATTTACAGGTAAATAACTATTACGAAAGAAGTCAACAAACGGCAAAAGGAACCAACATCGACTACCAACAATATGTGATGAGACAGCGTTGTGCTGCGAGAAAAGCTGGGAGTTTGAACAAACAGAAAAAATGCCAGTCTACAAACTATGTCTGGTAGGATTCGTTGAAAAATAAAATTAGATTTAGGTGAAAAAAAAAATGAAAGACAGAAAATGGAAGGAAAAACGAAAGGATCAGATGTAAAGACGAAATATTGTCGCCTAGCAACAGAACCATTCACGCTTTTATTTTGAAGAAGAACATTTTGAGAACTATACGCTTACTACTGCTTTAGGTTCAGATTAACTAAAAAGTGTATATAAATGCTCATAAGAAAGTAACGACTTTTTTGAATTTTTAGAAAATAACGAAAAGTGAAATATTTACTGTTGAAGTGAGAGAATTCCTACAGTTTTTTGAGGAGTGGTCCAAAAACAGTACTTTTGGTGAACTATTCACGATTAGAATGCGAATTGAGCAAGGCAGGTGCCGGCAGAGAAACCGGATATGGCAATGGTCGAAACACAAAGTCAACGGGAAATGAGACTCCCGTGCTATTCTGTCAGTGAATAGAGCCCTCAGTTATGGAATTCATGATTCATCAGTGTTTGTGAATATAGAAAGTGAAAAAAATAAACAGATCCGTTTACTTCAAAGAAAAAAACAGTTTTTTTATATTGATCGAAGTAGGAACATCTAATATAAACATAATTACTATTCAAACACTTTAACTATTGATCAATAACACAAAAATTTGAAATTGGCGAAATAATTTTTCGAAATATTAAATTTTTTTTTTTGAGTGATATCAATGCAAGCCAGGCCCTGATTTTTGTTATTGTTTTTTACATTTCTCTAGTATGTATTCGAACTTTAAAGAAAGCTTTTTCATATTTCAGAGACATCCTACTTTTCAATTTAGAGAATACTTCAGAGAAATTTTTCCGTATTTGCTTGGTATTGGACCGGCAACGGTCGCAGAGATGCAAAAAGACCATATTCAACGAAAGATAATCTTCTCAGTTTTTTTTCCTTTAGGTGGCGTGAATAAAAATTTAACCAAGCAGTATAACTCGTCCATGAACTCTCACTGGGGAAAATTATATTCGAGTCAGAATTTTTAGTTTTTGTTTCTTCAAGTCATGTCTTAATTTCAAAACTTAGCAAGAAAGGAAACCTACCTTTTGTGGTTTGCGAAGCTGCTGAGTGGGCGAAAGAAAATGGGAATTTTTCGGCTCAACCTTTGCGATTTCCACCGCCACAGCTTCATCTAAACTATTCTACCTAACGAAAAATGAAAATTAATTGAATATAACATTTGATGCTCTCTAAAAAGTTGAGGACGTCGCGGTTCGCAGCAGCCATTTTTTCGAGTTTTTGGTCCCATTTTCACTGCCCACGTCATTTTAAACATATTTCGCATTTGCTTTGACTATTAAACATAACATAACCATTGGGAAAGCGATGCATAAAATATGTTTTGGTTTTTTGACTGTTCAAAAGGTTTTGAGAATCCAACTGCGGGATTTAATAATAATAAAAAGGTTTATTCACTGCGCACTGTTAGAAAATAATAATAAAAACAGTTCAGAATGAGAGCAGTAGAATAACCAGTAACGGGAATTAGTCTACCCTAATTAACGGATTACCCGGATAGCTTTCGGATGTTTCAGTACAAAATTATAAGAGTTGAAAGGATTTGTAAAATATGCATCAATGCTTAATTTTCGGCTGCCTCTGTCTTGCTTTTATAACCGGCTGATACGAAAGTCAACTCGCCGTGGTTGCTGAGAACGTTGATCGCAATGAGGCCAATCTGTCCGTAGACGTTTTTATCTTCGTCGAAGTAGCCGTGCACGGTGATTCTAAAAAAGTTCCATACTTCGAGCTCTTCGTTTGACCTGATGAATAAGGCGGGTGCGTCGAAGGTCGCCAAAAGAACTGGTTCATCCTCCAGATGCAAACTTTCGCGGAACGTCAGCTGCTTGGAAACGTCGTAGTCGGCGTGGTAGGACTTAGAGGTGCCGTACTTCGGATTCGGCACTCCTAGCGACACCGTCAGCGAAGAAGCTCAAAATGGCTCAATCTGGCTTCAATTGTGTCGTGCACCAACGGAGAAAGTCTTTGTGCGCAGTGATTTTTACGGCGGCAACATGCGATTCTCTGTCGAGCTTGAGAACCAAAGACTGCGGAAACGAGTGATTTCTTCAAGAATGAGAATTTTAATGAAGAAGCTAGTTTCTAACTTTTTCGTGAACCAGGAAGCGCTAGTGTCAGAATCATTTGAAGACAATTTTTGTGCTAATTCTTGATCGCGAGATGTCGCAGACAAAATGGAGAACTCGAGCATCACAGCGGAGACGGCGACTTTGGATGATTTCGGAAGACATGGCGTTTCTGTTGGAAACGTGAATATACAAGTGGACTCGTCTCCCGAAAGAACAAGGGGAGAAAGACGCGTGATAATCCCAAGTGCTCAGTCATTAGTTGTTTTGATTTGTTTTCAATATGTTTTTCAGTCCTGACATTTTCGGGATGATAAGAGAGCAGAAAGGACCGCCGAGAGCGCCAATCGTCTACCGATGGACGAAAAAGACGTTCGAAAATACGTTGTCACCCAGCCGCATAGGTTTGTAAGATACTATCTCATTTCCAAGTCTCTCAAAAAATAACTGTTATCGATTTCTCAGTGCGAGCAGGGATGAAAGAGTTCATCTTTCGATGCTGGTTCGCTACGCGACTTTTTGCGACTACTTCCTGCTCATTTTCGGAGTGGTTTTCGCCGTGGCGCAAGGGTCCTGCGGCGCCGTTTCTTCGGTTATTTTCCGACACCTCACCGACGCTCTCATCATTGGAGAAGTCGAGTGGAATCTCGGCGTTTTCGACAAATTCGAGTTCGAGCAGCTTTCTCTAAACGCCATCAACAAATACGTCTTCTTTGGTATTCTAGTTTTCACTCTTGGCTTTTTGTCGGTGAGAAAAAGTAGCGACACCAAAATGTTCGAGAAAAACTCCAGATGTGTTGTTGGCACACCTTTTGCGAGCGGCAGATCCATCGACTTCGACTTGCTTACTTCCGAGCGCTTTTGAAGTAAGACATTTCTTAAACTCAGGAGCAGCTCCAACAGGCCAAAATACTTGAAAGCCACAGTTTTCAAAAAAAAATAATTTTGAAATCGTATAAAATGTTCTGTTCGAAAAAAGAAAAAAAAAACTCTTGATTTTCATAATTTGCAGACAAGACGGGGAATGGTTCGACAGACATGACGTCGGCGAGTTGACAACTCGAATGAGCGAGTGAGTTCATTGGAGCGCATTTTCCTCATGTCAAAGTTGCAGCGGCATGGACCGAATCCGAGACGGAATGGGCGACAAATTAGGAGCGATGGTTTCTTTTTCGGCGGCTTTCGTCTCTGGAATGGCCGTCGCCTTCTACTACTGCTGGCAAATGACCGCCGTCATGCTCAGTTTCACTCCCCTCTTCTTCGGTCCAATCACCGTCGCCTACAAGGCAAATCAACAGCTCTTCGAACTCAACATCTTCCGAGACTTCAGCTCATGTCTGTGGTCGTTCCACGCGAGATGCGGGCTTATTCAGACGCCGGAAGCACGGCCGAAGAGGTCATTCATGGGATTCGGACTGTTATCGCCTTCAACGCTCAGAAAAAAGAAGTCGAAAGGTTGGAAAACTTTCTATTCGTTCATCTTCCATTTGGCTTCAATGTGACCAATGCCAGTCCTCTTCGTGTCCAACTCTCTTTTTCTGATGCGCTCCGAGAAATATCAATTACTATAGATCAGCTGCGGAGTCAAATATGATTATTTTTCCGTTTCAATATTCTTTTTTTTCTACCAACTACCTTTCAAAAATTTTCTTTTGGTGTTCAACGTGATTCCGCGAATGACCGTCAGAGAAAGAAAAAGATAACTGAACTCTGTAGGGTCGGAGAAAGGTTCGCATTTCGCGGGAATTACTTTGAACGCGGCATTACACTCCACAAGTTTCGATTCAGGTATTCATCTCACCTTGCCCGTGGAAAACATTATGGGTTCCGTCGCGCTCTTCTCACCACCTTCGGCATCGCTTTTTTAGTACTTGCATTGTTTGTTTCGATGGCCGTTTCCTTCTGGTGAGCCGGCGGTGTTTTGCATTTGATATTGTTCTTCAGGTATGGGACTCATCTGGTGATTTCTGGAACGATCACTCCAGGAACGACCTTCGCTGTCTTTTGGGCGGTTACCTCGGCTGTATTCGCAATATGTAGGGGAATCAGTTAACTCGTTCTATCATTTGGCTTTTCAGCTCAAGCAGCTCCTCAAATCCCGGCTTTTGTGGCCTGTAGAGCTGCTGCAGCGCCCATTTTTGCCGTCATTGATAGAGTGTTTCTTTATTTTGAAAAGTTCCACAGTTTTGATTTAAGGAACCCCCAATAGACAGCTCCTCACCTAGTGGGAAGGTCATAAGGAACATTTTCGGCTCTATACGATTTGACAACATAAGATTCAGATATCCAACAAGGAAGGAGGTCTGACCTGCTTGTGTAGTTCCTCCCACGCAAGTAGTTCAGGTGGAGGTCCTTCGGGGAGTTTCGCTTCACGTTCGTTGTGGTGAAAGCATCGCGTTAGTAGGAGCCAGTGGATGTGGGAAGAGCACTTTGGCCTCGTTGTTGATGCGTTTCTACGACCTCGACAAGGAAGGCGGCGAGGTTTTCGGAATTTGCGGCTTTGTTCTGGATTTTTCTCGGTAGATAACTATCGATGGAGTGAGAATAGACGAGCTCAACGTCCACCATTTGCGGAGCATCGTAGGAATCGTATCACAGGAACCACTTCTCTTTGCGGACACGGTTTGATCTGTTCATGCTGGATCGAGTTATTGGTTCGCAGGTGGAGAACAACATCCGTTTGGGGGAGCCTGGAATCTCCGAAGATGAACTTCAAGACTGTTGTCGCACTGCAAACGCCCACGATTTCATCCAACAACTTCCGCAGGTCTTTTCGAGCTATGAACAGTCGAGAACAAGTGTTCGTAGGGGTACAAGACGTTCATCGGAGACGGCGGAGTCCAGTTATCCGGAGGACAGAGACAACGTCTTGCCATCGCCAGGACACTGGCCAGAAGACCTGCGATCCTGATCTTGGACGAGGCGACGAGCGCCCTCGACAGCGAAAGCGAAGCTCTCGTCCAATCTGCCTTAGACAACGTGAGCCTGAAACAAGGCTGCTGACCATTTTGATAGGCGAAACAAGGGCGAACGACGATTACCATAGCACACAGACTGTCGACCATCCGCAATTGCGACAGAATCTACGTCTTTGACCAGGGTTCGATTGTGGAGATTGGTAGGAGAAAGACCGAAAATGTATCCCGAAAGCTCTCAGGCAGCCACGACCAACTCATTTCGATGGATGGAATCTACGCTCAGTTGGTTGCCTCGCAAGCCGGTGACGACACCCACAAGCCGTTCAAGACGGAAGGTAGTCACGAGTGAAGAGCCTGTTTGAAAGTCGATTCAAGAAGAATCCCACGCCAGAAGTCCCTCCGCAGACAGAGGAACTCTGCGCAAGAAGATCAGCAAACGGCTTTCCCGCGCCTTTTCCTTGACGGCTGAACGACTCGACGCCGAGCTTGAGGCTTTGCAGGTTTTTCTTCTCAGATTAATCACTTTTGTTTTCGAAAATGAAGAAAAAAAAAGAAATAGCGCAAAGACTGACTTTAAATTTTAACTTTCGCCCTAAGTTTCTCTGGAAATATCCAATCAAGAATGGCTAGAAAATAATTTTAACAAAAGAAGCTCAAAAATATATATTATTAATTCCTGGCGGTATCCAACCCAGAAATCGTTGTTGAAAAAGCAAAAAAACCTAATTTTTTTCTACTTATGAAATTCAGATTTCCGCATTGGTGATTTTTTTCTTCTTCTCTGTTGAAAATCTATGTATTGAGGAATCAAAAAAACATTTGAAAAAAGTCCTTTTAATGAAATTTTAAGCACGAAGCAGCCGAAGAATCTGCGGAGGAAAGCGGTTTGCTTGAAATCATGCACTACGCCAAGCCGGAGTGGAAATACATGCTTTTCGCCTTGATTCTGTCCATTTTACGCGGCCTGACCTTTCCGATCTTCTCAGTTCTCTATGGCCGTATGTTTAGGGTGAGCCTTTCATATAAACCGTAAAAGTCCGACAAATCAAGACTCTGTCTTCCGGCACGAACGTCGAAAAAATGGCCAGCGCCAAGAAAAATGCCTTGTTCTTCACACTTCTGGGAATCGAGTCAGGAGCAGTGACGATGGGAGCAGGTCTGACAAAGATCTTCCTTTGAAAATCAGATCTCAGGAGCTCTTCTCGGATTGGTCGGCGAGCGTCTGACAAACAGGATGCGCCTCGATTTATTTTCTCACATTTTGAGGCAGGTTAGACTTTAGAATTTTGTTTAGGTTTTTAGATTATTTGAAAAAAATATGAGAAATTAGGTTCGCAGTTATCTTGAGATGAAGTCTGACTTTTAATGGTAGCTAAGGCAAACAGAAAAAGCCCTTTTTTGAAACAAGGCTCACGTTTTTTCTCGCTTGCTTTTAATGTGATGAAATTAACCAGGATGGTGAGTATTTCGATCGTCCAGAACACGCCACAGGACGTCTGACCACCAGACTCGCCACAGACGCTCCGAACATCCGCGCGGTCCATCGATGAGAGTCTTTTTTGAAGGATTCTTAGAATTTCAGGCCATCGACCAGAGACTGGCAGACGTCGTCCAAGGCTTCTCAGCCATCGTCGGCGGTGTCGTCATAGCTTTTTCCTACGGACCTGCAATGGCTCCGATCGGACTTCTCACTTCGGGGGTTCATTGCTTCAAGGTTCTAACTGGTCTCGGTTCGAGTTCAGACACTTATTTCTCTGCAAGCTCTCGTGGGACAATATTTGAAACGGCGAGGCCAGAAAGATGCCATCAAAGCAGAGGAACCATCGAGGGTAGCTTTTATCTTTCGAGTTTTCGTTAAAGACTCTCTCAGTTAGCCACGGAGGCGATAGAACAGCTGCGGACAGTTCAATGTTTGACTCGGGAAGAGCAGGTGAGCTGAAAATCCATAGGCTCGAATTGTTTTCTGAAGTTTGTCAGAAAGTTCGAAGAAGGCATGACGGATACACATCGGCGGTCTCTGCAGCGAGGCATCGTCCAGTCCCTGACCTACGCTCTTTCCGTCTCCTACCTCTTCTTCAACTTTGCCGCCGCCTACCGCTACGGCGTCGTCTTGGCTCTCCGTGGGGTCACGTCTCCATTCATCATCTTCCAGTCAGCCCCTTTTTGAAGTCTTCTAAATAGTCCGTAGGGTCATCGAAGCGTTGAACTCGGCGTCGACGTCTCTCGTCGCTCTTGGGACCTTTGTGCCGGAGTACGTCCGCGCGAGAGTCTCCGCTGGTCTCCTTTTCCGGATGCTACGCGACAAACCACGCATCGACAGCAACTCGGAGCAAGGAAAGCAGATCGTTTGTGGGGAAAAGTTCTGCGAGGACGCTTTAGCTCCTTCAGACCCTCAAAGGCGATATCGTGATGAACAACGTCTATTTTTCCTACCCTGTTTCTCGTAGAAAGATGGTTCTCAACGGACTTTCGTTGAAAGTGAGAGAATGGATTGAGAAGAAGAAGTTCAATAGGCTGATTTTAGATCGTTTCTGGAAAAACAGTCGCTCTGGTTGGTGCTAGCGGTTGTGGGAAAAGCACAGTTGTACAGTTGTTTGAAAGATACTACGATCCGATAGCCGGATGTGTAGTAAGTTGGTCAAATATTGTCCGGTGTTGAACCGATCTACAGGCCTATGACGGCGAAGACACGCGCGAATTGAATCTCCGACATCTCCGTTCCCAGATCTCCATCGTGGGACAACAGCCGACGTTGTTCAATTACTCCATCAGGTTGCAAGGAACTCTTCCGTTCAACCCAAGCAAAAAAAGTTCTCAGAGAAAACATTGCGTATGGGCTTGAAGCGGTTTCTGAAGAAGATATTATCGAGGCGGCGAAGTTGGCCAATGCTCACGATTTTGTGGTCAAAATGCCAGATGTTTTTTCATTATAAGAATGATGAAAAGTTGGTTTATCAGGGATACAACACAGTAGTCGGCGAAGGCGGAAGCAAGCTTTCCGGAGGCCAAAAACAGAGGATAGCGATAGCGCGTGCCATAGTCCGCAAGCCACGGATTCTTCTGCTGGACGAGGCGACTTCGGCTCTGGACGCCGAAAGTGAAAAGGTCCTTGCAGAGGCTTGGCAAGTCATGTTCTTCTCTGTTCCAGCTGGTCCAAGAAGCTCTGGAAAAAGCTCGTGCCAATAGGACTTGCGTGGTCGTTGCACATCGTCTTTCAACAATTCGAAGTTGGTTTAACAACATTTTTTTCTCAAAAAAATTATAGAATAGCTGAGAACAAAAAGTTTGATGAAGTTTTATTTTCTATTTTCGAACTTTACTTACTTTTTATTTTTTTGAAAACAAAAGTTAATTCATAATGCAACGTGGCATCTCACTGGTTGATACAAAACTTAAATCTGGGAATTTTTCAGAAATTTAATGAATTTTTTTGAAAGTTTTATTCGGAGGAAGCCTCAAAATCAAAGAAAAATCATGAGGATCATCAAAATATATCTGCTCATTTTGGGCTCTATGTTTACGAAAATCTTTCAGGAAAGATTTATTTGAGTCAATATTCTGAAATATCCGAAGAAAAGGAGCAGATTATTTTCTTCGAGATTTTTCTAAACGCCTTTTCTAACTGATCTACTGGAAAAAGATGGATTTGAAGATGCGGACACGATCGTGGTGCTGAAGGAAGGTCGCGTCGGCGAGCAAGGGACGCACTCGCAACTCGTCTCCCTCAATGGAATCTACGCACACCTCGTCCATCTCGCTCCTTGACTTTTTTGCCGTTGTAACAAATTCGAATTCGGCGAGAATCGCCATCACCGAGAAATCAATGAATTTTGTTGCCGAAATGGCCTACACTTTGAATGTTTTTTGACGGCACATGACGACAATCAGTAAGTAGGCGTCGTCGGAATCTGTTTTCCATTCCTTTTTTTTTCAAATTTGTTTGTCCGGTCAGGTGGTATGCAAACTTTTCCTCTTCTTATTTTTCTATTCTTGGGCTTTTCGACTTTTCGCGTCTCCTCGGTCGCTCTGGACGAAGCAGATCTCGAAGACTACGAAGAACGCCGAAACTTCCACGGTTTGTTTTTTTTTTTATATAAGCGACCTTGAAAAATACTCTCGAAAAAGTTGCAGACACGCTCTGCTCGAAAAGGCCTAATCTGTCGTCATGTCAATCGCCTTTCACGCCTAGAAAGTTCCTCGATGAAAGAGAAAGGCTAAAAAATGAGAAATATTTGCGACGGCCACAGTATCCTGGCGATCTTCGGGTTTGTTCGGTTCAAAAGTTCTATTGAACTCTAAAAATAACTTCGGGGATACAGAAATCAAAAACTGTTAAGAAATCATTGATTAAAAAATTGAGTGAAATATTTGTTCCATGAACAGAGTGCCCAAAAAGATTTTGAAGAAAACATCAGTTTCAACATATATTTCGGTGCCTGCAGAATCGCCGTCGGGACTCGCCTTGGTGGGACGATTCCGACGACGAGGACTACGAGTACTACCTCTGGAAGAAAAGAAGACGTCAGCTTCTACGTCGTAAACATCTCCAAGTGTAAGCCGTGACTTATAATATTTGAAAGATATCTGAAAAAGTTTTCGAAAGTAAAGAATGACCCTGAATGCAAGTGGAAAACCGAATGAATATAATAAAAGAGTCCAAGCTTTGATAAAAGAGTTTCAGGGGCGGTCCCGAGTATCACTATCACTACCAGCCTAGCAGCAATTACTACAACCAGCAGCCAACCTACAGGTTCACATAAAGTTCAAACTTTTATGATAGGCTATCTATTTGTTTTTTTGTTATTTTGTTAACGAATTGAGCCCCAAGAAACGGTTCTCAACCAAAGTTTTGATCCACGGTCCCATGATTCGATTGTTTTCTGCTCTTTATAGCTCATACCCCTCCTACGGTGGTTACGGCTATGGTTATCCTTCTTATGGAGGTTATGGTGGATACGGTGGAGGCGGCGGCTTGTTCAACATCGGCTTCGGTCGCCAACTCGGAATCATGACTCCTATCGGCGGATTCGGCTACAGCAGTGGATTTGGCATCGGCATAGGCTGAAATTGAAGTCTTTGAACTGTTTAGAACTCAATTTGTTAAAAAATGCTTTTTGTGACATATTTTCAAACGTTATCAACTTTTATTTATATCTCTAGAAGATCAAAAAGGCAAGAAATTTCTCTGCAATCGAACCAAGAACCAAGCTTTATTTCCTCTTCATTTCTCCGCGCATCCTCTTTACTTGTTTTCGCCCCGATAAAGATTTGTTAGAAGCGTCATTGGGAAGAACAACGAGTTTTCACTGGAACAAATGGGCTTCGGTCACTTTGTCTTTGCTTTCTTCTTCTTTTTGCAATGGAGTCCTTGCCGCCCCTCGACGAGAGCTTCACCAAATGGTACTCTAAAAACTTCGATCCCAAGCCCTACTACTACTGTCTCTGTTTGATATTCACAGTCATCGTCCTTTTTTGGCTCGTCTGTCTTCAATTCAGCAAGCCATGTGCATATCCGTGTAAGTTGTAGTCTTTGAAAATCGTAAAAATAGTTCGACGAATCATCTAAAGATGCTGCCTTTTTCATCTTCTATGAATAATCAGGCTTCCAAACTTTTTTTTTGAATTTTTTAAAACTACTTGATTAAAGTTCAAGTTTCCATGATCAACTTTTTTTTAAACTTTCAAAAATCAGGAAATTCAAATTTTAAAAAGTGTAGCAACATTTTTTTCCTTATTGAAACTACAATTTGAAAGAAATGAACGAACTTTCGAAATAGTGAATCTCTTTCAAAAGTTTTATTTAGACCAAGAAGCGGTATTTATGAAAAACGTTGTTCACTCATTGCCACCATTCACTTCGGGGTATCCGCTTTTCAAGGTTTGTTTTTGAGGTCTTCAAAGTGAAACGGCGTCTTTCGTTATACCTAGGGACCGCAAGCCATTTCTTCAGAACGATTTGAAAAAAATGTTTTTCACATTGTTCAATAGACTGTCCATTTTCAAAATCCGTTTAGTTTTTGAAAAAAGCTCCACTAAGAAAAAAGTTATGGCCAAAAAACGAGCGCGCGCGGCGTACAACTGGAGGCAAAATCTCATGGTTTACCCGCTGCCGCACGCTTTCTTTTTAAATGTTTTTGCGCGTTTCTGGACCGTTTTTAAATCGGTTTTCTGTTCTGAGAGGTTGTCCGAACTGAGCCTCATGTTTTGGTATGAATCTTTTGTACAATCCTCATAAGAATTTTTGATAAAATATCAAAAAACTACCTTGAAAAAAGGTCAAAGGGATTTTTCACCTTATTTTTCTTTTTTTTACTCAGAAAAATTATTATCATTCGATTTGAAAAAAAGAAAAAAAGAAAAAAATGTTATTTCGAAATAAAACAGGAAAAAGTGCAATTTGACTCCGAAAAACAGCTCCTGCGACATTTAAAAGGGCGCATCGGTGTGTTTGACGCAAACACTGCTACGGACGCTTGCACGAAATCTTCCGAAATTTCAAAAAAATTGCCATTTTTTTCGAGGTTTTTCAAAGCCGTTATTTTTTTCGCGTCGATCGATTTTTTTCATAATTTTTTTTCATTGATAGAGTTTTGAACGCTTAATAACGTAATCAAAAAAATATAGACGCCATCCTATTCTCTCATGCGTCAACGAGACAGGCGAAAAAAAGGAGGTTTTGGTAAAACTCAAATATAATTTGATTCGCTGTCCCAATAATTATTTTTCATTTTTGAATTTTTTTATTTTTTTGGACACACTGTTAGTTTTTTTAAATCAAATAAAAAAGTATATCATGTCGCTGAAATTTTTTTCGTATTTCAGCTTCAAAGTTTGGTGTCACTTTACAAGCTTTATTATTTTTTTCGCGTCGGTAGATTTTTTTCATTTTCACTCAAAAAAATAAAAGAAAGTGTTAATGTATAACACACTTAAAATTTAGAAGCGTTCCTCACTTGGTTTTCTGAAACGCGACGATTTTGTGAAACTTGTCAGTTTTTTTCGTGTTAAATCTTACTTTTTCGCTTATTTTCGAAAAATACATAGTTTTAAAACTATTCAGTCTTGTAGAGCGTTACCAATTACATAGATTAACAGAAACAGTTCATTTTTAAAGTGGGACTTTAGCTAGTATAAACGCCTCAAAACCGTTTTTGCAACAAAAAAATCGTCATTTTGGTGGCGTGAAGGGGCGGGGCTTTGCGCCCCCTAGTTATACCTCTTTAACTTTTTATCAGACTCTCAGGAAATGTAATATTTTTACCCGAAGTTTCCTGAATTTAAAGAAAACTTTAAACGTTGATTTATGATTTTGAGTTTGTCAAAAAGTATGATCTGGCCCTGTGCCCGATCGACGGCAACTTTCCACACCTGACCACTGCGATCATGTGCTTTTTGGACCGTCCTGACATCTACCGCCAGAAAAGAAACATCAGCAATGATGTGACGGGGTGAGATTATTCGAAAATATTCAAAGATCTCGAAAAGTCCAGCTTTTGTGGGAACGAGCCGCCATTCACGCTGCACAAGCTGCGCAACGAAACCGAAACGCCGAAAAATACTACGAAGCAAATTGCAGTGGTTCAAGATCCAGTCGATCGCTTCGTTCGGCTCTTCCACTCGATATGCGTCGTGTAGGTTCTCAGAATTGCTTACTTTTTCAGTTTATGTCAAATAAGAAATATCTATAAAAGGAGACATTTAGCGGGACCTGTCGATTAAAAACCTTGAGCTTCGAAAACGTACAAAAATAATTTTAAGGAAAAAAGCCGGCAGTCAATAAAGCAAGCAAAAATTTCAGAAACAAGCAGTGTTATGAATGCGAAGACCTGCTGGGCTGTCTCCTACGTCGTGCCTTTTCCGACATGATCGACTTCACAGTCACGGGCTCCTACGATGGAATCTCGCCTTCTTTGGCTCTTTTCTTCCCTCAAGCATGGTCAGTGTCGGAATCAAATAGTATTTCCGCCTTTCAATTTTAAAGATTCGGAATGGGGTACGAATAATCTCACAAAATTTTTGTAGTTTCTAGGTTTTTCGAAACTGAATGGTTTTGATCGCAGAAAATAATGAAATTTTATACAGAGATTGCCTCGATTACGCCGAAAAAAAATTTTCAAAAGACTCTTTTGAACTAATCTACCTAAGTTCTTCTTTTTTTTTAGTGATAGAAAATCGATGAAAAGCTCATATTTTTTCGAAAATTGCTCTTTTATCTTGAGAATTGCGCAATGATTGAACCACAACTGGTTAGCGATACAGCGCGGCGCAGGCCAGAAAATGTCGGGCGCAGCGAAAGACAGGCCAAAGTTTGTTCTTCTGCACGCCAGCTGGTGATGATAAAAAAGGTCTGGTTTCGCTAAAAATTTCCAGAACGATAATCTGTCGAAACACCTTGGCTGTCTGAGGCGAGAAAAATTAAGTTTAAATATTGAAAACTGTTAACTTTATCTCGGTAGAAGTGCAGAAATATGATTAAATTTATTGGAAGTACTTTTTGTCTTTCCAAAATTTTACGGTAAAATGTGTTGAGGTATTGTGGATTCGACGAAAATCTTCGAGAAATAACTATCATAAAGTATGGAGGAGCAATAAGACGAGGAAAGTCGAAAAACGCCTTCGACGAACAATTCAAACGGGTGATGAGAGAAAGGAACGTCAGCGCGCCTCTGATCGACGAGGTCGAACGCGAGATCCGAAGTGAGTCTTCTTTGCAATCAACAGTAGCTGTTTCAAACTCGTATTGATTTTTGAAAAGTACTTGGATGTTTCAAAATGAAGTTACTATTTTAAACTTCCAATTTTTCAACTTTTTCTCTTCAATTTTCATCATTTTTTGAAAAGTCAAATAGCTTCGGAAACTACTGTTAAATTTACAACTGGCCCAACTCAAAATTACTTGTGGAAAGAAAAACTGTGTGTGCATCAATTTCTCACTATTGCCACTGACAGTTAAGTTATTTTTTTATAAATGTTATAATGCATCGTTTTATTTTAAGATAGCCGTGTCCGCTTTTTGCTCATCTTAGACTTTGAAAATTTTGTGAGCTGTATACCTAGATTCCATCGCCATCATATTTCCATGCAGTCATCGCTGCGGAATCATTTTCTTCTGTTCAAATTTCCTTTCGTAACACAACAGAAGCGTTGCCATGAAAACAAGCTCGTTTTTGTCGCTCGAATAATCCAACTCGTCACTTGAGAAGTTCGATTTGCACTGACGCCGGAGGAGCTCGAAGTCCGACGGAAGTTGCTCGAGAATCCACGCCTCCTGAGGCTTTTCCTTGGCATATACCGACACGACTTTTCTCTCTTCGGTTACACTACTCCTCCCATCCCCGAAACCAGCACTCCAAGTTGATTTGTCTGTTGAGAAACTTAATAAAACTAATAGTTAGTGTAATAAACCAATTATGTTCAGAAGCTTTTCTCAACCTCTCCATCTATTAGCTATGAAAAATGTATTTATTCTTTTCCTTGTGAATCACTTGAAAGTTAGCAAAAAAAGTTTTTGATGTATCAGATCTTCACAGTCTCCTAGTTCTCCGGAAAAAAATTCCCTTTAGAAGTTCCTTCAATTATTCCAATTCAGAAGAAACCAACTGCGAGAGTTCCGATTTCAAGCTAAAAAATATATCAATTTTTTTTCATCAAGTTCGATAATTTTTCAAAAAAGTAGAATGACCTTCCTTCTAGGTTCCAAATCTGACGATAGTTGGCTCGACGGAAAGCCTTAGAACTAAAGTGCTGGGAACTTTTCAAACCTGTTAAATTTTGCGGAATGAATTTTCGAAAAAAACTCTTCTTTTTTGTAACATTTTACTGCAAGAATAGATCAAACCCGGTTCTCAGACGGAACAAAGAGTGGCTGGACAAGAAAACATGCAATCCGGCAGGGCGGATTAAGCCGGCGAAAACGAGGCGTCCTGAAGCCAAATTTGGCCCTCAGGCAGTGACTTTTTATGTCGAAAAGCGCATCGCAGAAGTCGCTTCGGGACCCAGTCTGACTGTCTATGACTCAAGTGCAACAGGGCGAATTTGTCACGTGGGTCCTTTTCTGCTTCGCCGTCGCACTGGCCGTCGCCGTCGTCGTCTACTACAAGTTCTGCAAAAGTTGGTTTTCTTAAAATTTCAGTTTTGGTACCGTTATAAAGTTAGAATTTGAGATAAACCAATTATGCCGTGTTCAAGTTACTTTCCGAAAAATGCAAAATTATCTTTTATCCTCCAATGTGTGGCTATCATTTTCACTCTCTGACGAATATTTCAAATTTCGTGAAATTACTTCGAACACGACATAAAAAATCAACCAAAAAAAAATTCGGAGCAACGGAAACTTTTTTTCAGAACTTTGTGATTTCTAGGCATGACTTCCAGTTTCATACTTTTATTTGAAAAAAAATCATCTTATCATAGGCGAATGGAGAAAGGGTATCGCGATACCCTCTCAGGTATATCGCAGGATCTAAAGTCTATTGATGGCACCTCGAGTAGACCTCTGAGGAATTTGAGCAAAATGAGATAGACTTGACTCTCAAGTACCTCCGAGATGGCTAAGATATAGCTAAAAAGTATGCTGGACTCATTTCAAATATTACTAGTTGATTTTAAAATAGTTGAAGGTTCGTTTAATCTTCTAATCTGATTCTTCATCAGAATTTATTATTTAAAACCAAATAATTAAACAAATTTGTTTTTCTGACATTCGAATTTGGACTCATTTGAAGAGTCCAAGTTTGTCAGATTATTTTTTTCATTGAAAAAAAATGGGGCTTTTTGAAGAATGGGAGTTGTGAAAATACCATCAAATAGTGTATTTATTTTGAAAGTTTACGGGAATATTTCAATCAAAAATTCAAATTCAGACAACGCTCATCGCGCCCTTCATCATTAATTTTTCGGTACGTTGTTAAAATTTTTAAATTTTTTTCAAAAATATTTTTTTGTTTCTGATGAAAAACTCATAGAGGCTTTGATTTTGAATAACTACGTTATGAGCAAAAAATGCCGGGCAATCCAATTTTATGCCGTGCTCAAAGTAATTTCCGAAAAGTCGAAATTATCTTTGCCTCTCCAAAATTTAGCCATGTTTTTCATTCCATGATCGCTATTTTGAAATCCGCGGAACGACTCTGAAAACGGGACTAGAAAGATAGTTTTGAGCCCCTCGATTTTATTTTCCAAAAAACATTCAAAATTCCTGAAAGGCTCGCTACTCCGCCGAAAGTGAGAAGCAAGCTTGCTCCACGGAAAATCCAGCGCCAGCTGTTGGCCAGCTTCCAATCGATCTCGAGCCTTCACTGGTTCCCTCCAGCCGCAGGAAATTTTCCAAATGGTAAGTTGACCTAATAACTCCAATGGGCAGGAAAAGTGATTGAAAGAAGTGTTTTGCAGAAGTTCCAAACCGGTGAGATTGTCACGTTTTACATGTTCGGGTTCACGGTGGCTCTAACGGCCACAGTCGTCGCATATTACAAGTTTCTAGGTCCTAGTGAGTCTATTACTTCAATATAAACTTTGAGCCTTTCTATTCAGAAATCGACTCGAAATCGGTGAACAGATTTGTAAACGACGGTAGGAAAAGAGTTGCGAAATGCGAGGAAATCTTTGGCCGGTTTTCTGGTCGCCGTATCAGTCGAGATTTTTGAAAGAAATCTTCGTTGAATTTGATTCAATGTTTTCCACCGCTGGCTTGAGACGATTTTCGGTACGTTTTTTTTCGAAAGATTAGCCGAAAGAAAAATTGAGACGATATTTTTTGGAGTATTCTTTTATCAAGCTAGCGGTGAAATCACTACAACTTGTGGAAAATGTTTTGTTGTTGTTTTTTTTTGTCAATGAGAGCAGTTCCTTTGGATACAACTACGGAAATCTCTGGCCTTCTTTTCCCTGATTCGATTCACAATCTCCTTTTAAAACTTTTGTGAAAAGTTTTCATTTGAGTATATTCATGAACATATTTTTTTTTTGTTGATCTGAAACTTGCCAAAGCAATCAATGTTTTCTAATTATCGACATTTACGCTGTGCTCGGCACAAATTACGAGTCTCCTATAAAGTATTTGCATTGAAATGGATATATTGAGACAAAAGAAGAAGAAGAAAATTGCTAAAAGAGCCATCAGTGGGATGAAAGGGCGGAGTTAATCCGCCGAAAAAGAGAAGGTTCGAATTTGCGAACAGAAATTAGAACAAGGAGAAGCTCCGACCAACGAGAGGACAACTGCGCCGTCGAGTCTGACGAATCACTTTTCGAATCGTTTTTTGTCTTTCGGAGAGCCACCTTTGATCGAAGATTTATTCTCATCCGCAAAACATCACCTGAGCTGTAGTCCAACACTTTTGATTTCGGGCTCAATTTATTTTCCAAAATTATTTCTTCTAGCTTTTTTTGAACATATAATCGTCCCTACAACTACCTGTTGCAAACTGTCTCCTAAAAATTTTTACGATGGTATAATATAATATAATAACAATTTAAATTTCAATATGACTTATTCTACAAGGGTTCAATTTTGTGAGTTAACCTTCCTGCTAATATCAAACTCGCATCCACCTTACTAGTTAGTTCGTTTTTGGCTTTAAGAAAGCAGCGATTAACTTTTTGCATCAGTTCTAAAAAAAATCGAAGTATTCATAATTAAGTTTTTGTTTCGTATTTTCGGTCATTTTTTTCCAGGCGCTTTCTGTGTCGAACGAGAAAATTAATGCTAATGTATGAAAAAAGGGATTTCAGAAGCAATTGGCGCCCCGTATTTTCAGTAAACTTTCTCAAAATGGCCATCGAAAAGGAAAAAGCAACAGTTGTGCTGCATGATATGGAGGACGAGACCGAAGATTTCGCCCACAGAATATTTAAAGTTTTTTCTTTTCAAATCTAAAGATCTCATAGAAACTTCATTCCCAGTCTTTTTGAAATCGGAATTTAATTGCTTGGAACAGGTCGCGACGATAATGCGGATAAACTTTCTCAAGAAGGACCGCTGCACTCGCTCCATCAATTTCTTTGTCGCTGGCCTCTTTTTCATATTAGGTTCATTTTAACGCGGAAATCCTCGATTTTCAATTCATTCCAGGAGTTTATAGCTTCATTTATGCAACCAAAGTGACTTTTGCTTATCGCTTTACGACCTACGAGGTTTCAATGACGTTGCTCGTGCTCACATGGAAGGTCCAATCTCTCATTTCGATGGTTTTGGAACGAATCCAAGCGAATTCTGAAAAGAGCACAGGTTTTTCTCGTTTACTGGCAACTATACGGACACCTGAGATCTTTCCGAAGACGCTTGGCCGGATGCCAGCAACTGAAGGGCTTGGCCCAGGGACGTCGAATGATCGACGGTTGGTCGTTGTGAATTCTTCTCGAAGTTTCAATTTCAGGCAACACCCATTTTTTCTTTGTAATTCTGGTCTTCGAAGTTAGCATTTGCTTTGCTTTCGCTGCCAAGTACCACTTGAGCGAGTTTCACACTGAGTATTCCACTGTTCTTTCGCGGGTTAAGTCTTCCCGCTGTCATCTGTAAGTCGGAATGCTTTCAAGGTGTTCTTCTACACGGAGCTCCGGCCTTTGTACACTTGCGTCACAGTATACCTGTACCTGGTATGGAACATCGCTCTTTTCGTTTTGATTCTTTACACCAACGCGACCTTTCTGGAAGTTCGCTACTTCAACCAGCAAATCGAGAAGGCAGTTGCAAAGAAAGTGGCCAAAACCTATTTTTGTTTGTCATTTCAGTTTGACGGATCTGATGAGAATGCGGAGGAGGACCTCTTGGCGCACATGAACACCTATGGCGACCTCATAGGGGTGATACGACAGTTGGACCGTATATTTAGAGTTGTATTTGTTTGAAAATCTTCTTCTTATTGAATATTTACAGTTCTACACGTTTATAATGATAGTGACGACGATTCCCTCGATGATCTTCACGCTGATGATGATGAACCAGCGGATCCACTCATTCACGGACCTGCTCTTCTGCTCGCCCTCCATCTCCTTGTGCATCTACTCCTTTTTCGCCGTAACCATCGCTCCGGCCCGGCTGCACGACGAGGTTTGACGAAAGAAAGACATCTCTGCAAGAAGAGATTCGAGATCCGTCTGACGAAGACGTGCTTCTGCCAGAACAAATCGATCTGGTTCCCGTACCGACGTGAGGTCTACCTAATTGCCAGCACCTTCGCTTCCCACATGGAACAGTACGAGCTTGGAGTCTCCGTCTGGGGCTTCGCCGTCCTTTCTCGGCCACTTATTCTCGGGGTGAGTCAGAAGCTTCGACTTCCTCAGGCAACCTTTCAAGGTCGAATTAAACAGTATAAGAATTAGGCGAAGGCAGAACCAAAAACAAGGCACCTCGTCGATCTATGTCACGATTGTCGCACGCTTTGCATTGTTGCCACAGATCAAGTTGGCAATCATGTTTCTTGTATTGTTTTTGCTTTTGAGCCAAGTAACGATGTGTGATGTCCCAAATCTGGTTCTCTATGCAACCAATTAGATCGACATTTTTGTGACAGCTTTTTTATACATCTCACTTCATCAAAGTTCATTTTTCCTAAAGAGCTGTTCACTTTGAAAAAAGAGTAACAAATTGCCCATCTATACCCATTCAAAAGAACTCTTTATTTCATGTCCAAAACATTTTCTCATGTATAACTTAATTGGCAGTGTAAAATGCACTGTAATAGGAAAAGTTTATAAAAGCTGAAGAATTATAAGAAAAACTGCGTCATTATTTTTCGTTTTCTAAAAGCACGTGAAAGTAAAAAAAATTTAAAAATGATTTTTTCTGTACATTTATAGCATTTTTCTCATATCTCATCTTTAAAAAAGTTGATCATACGTTACAGACTTGGAAAATTTTCTGAAGTTCGATATTTTTCAATTATTACAGACGCTTTCCGCCACGGCAATGCTCATGTCTCTGTTGACGGAACTCGCCCCGAAAGCCGACCTCTTTAGTGATCACTCCACCAAACACTCGTAAAATAAACAATTTATTTAATTTTATCCATTCGTTGATTTTCTCACGAATGTATATTACACGCATGTTGTACAAGCAAGGAAAGTTGGGTTTTTGGAGGTAGATCTGGCGGAAGAATTAAGTTAGGCGGAAATAGCGAACTCGCTTGTCAATGGCTTGGCGTCCTTCACCTCGTTCTGAAATCGAAAAATTTACACAGAAAGACTCTTCAATAAGAAGCTAGCAAGTTTTTCAACCCAACGAAAAACTCACGTTCTGTTCACCGGAAGCTTCAACGAAGTCATGGCCTGAAAACCACATTTTTCAGAACGTCAAATGTTTCAGATCTACCTGATCCTTCTCCAGATGCTTCGATAACTGTTTTGGTAGAAGAAGAAGAGGTGCTCAGTTCTCCACTTCCTTCTCCCGACGCTTCGATTCCTGATCCTTCGACGCCACTTCCTAAAATAGTTTCTTTTTTCATTTTGAAACTTTTAGCAGGTTGTTCGGACTGTATAAGATCCTCATCAGTTTATTTCCTCTTTGAAAACAAAAACAGAAGTAATTATCAAATTTGAAGTATTCGGACTTCCGAAATATTGCGATCTCAATGAAAGTTTTGTCGATATTTCATTTACAAACTTCAGTTTAATGATAAATTGAAACCAAGTAGTTCTTTCAACAAACTCAAAAGTTTAATTTCCATAAATTTTAATCATCCAACTCTCACCTTCAACAGCGACTCTTCGAGCTCGCAGAACAGTCAAGGCTTCGTCTTCGAAGGCCAAAACCTGAAATACTCGTTTTTGAAATTCTACTGAGCTTATATTCTTAGAACAACTGATATAACTTCAGATGACATTATGAAAAGGAAAGATCAAAACTAACAGGAACTGCGACAACGGCGACGAGGAGGAGGACCACTGAAGCCTGCATGATTCTGACTGAAAAAAATTTTTTTTTGGTTTAAATTCTAATTTTCGCTAGTAAGGAGAACGTTCAAATTCGAATCGCGAGTTCAAAAACAGAGTTGAGAGTAAGGAAGAATGTTTGCATTTGTGATTTTTAGTGGAAACAAAGATGCTGGAAGCCAAGGAATTAGAAGAAGTTCAAAGGAAAGACAACCAGAACTCCAACGGTCACAAATACATTTATATTGCGTCGGGGCTTCATCGAGGCGCCGCCCAACTCACTTATCTGTCAATGAGAGGCACGCCCAAGAGGCGTTCTTTTTCCGCCGTCGCAGCTGATTTTTCGTTTCGCGACGCATTAGGCAAATTAACGGCAATTCGCAACATTCAAAGCAAAGTTAACGGGAACAAGTGTGGAAGTTAAGCAAAGAACTTTTGAAAAAGGAGTTTTCTGCGTGACGTGGATGGTTCTCTAAGCCGTCTCTGATGGCCCTATTTTCAATTTTTCTTTTTTAGTTTATTCAATCCAAGTCAATACGGACTTATGCCGAAAACAAAATTCGGTATTCATTATTTCCAATAGTAAACATTTCTCAAAAGGAAATTGTGGCATAAGTTCCGGTCCTAGAGGAAGCTAGGCTTGCACTCTTGTGAAAAAAAATAATTATTTGTCGGTCATTTTCTTCTCGGCTTTCCCCTGCTGTTTCGACGATTCCTGTAACTCGTTTTAGACCGCAAAAGCCCGGGGTCATCGCATTCCTATTTTATTGTCCAAGGAACACTAACTCTGGCCAAACAAGTCCACTGTCTTCTCCTGAACTTTCTTTTCTCGGACACCTATATCATATGGCAGTTTTCACATTTTAGAATGGCAATCATTTTTTTTTCTCAAACAGAGTCATTTCAAATGAATATTCAATGAACTCCCATTATAAAAATTAATAGTCTCAGAAACGCGAAAATTTGAAAGCGATTTTTTCCCATCGAAGTTGGGAAAATCTTTTTTAGTTTTCCTGTCGAATTCAAGTCGCGAAATTTGATGATTCTTTTGGAAGTGTCCTACTTGATTCAACCGTCTACACGCGTTTCACTCAGTGTGAATTCAGAATCACCTTCATCCCAGGAGGAAAATGTCTTACGATAAAAAAGAAACAAGCAGAAGTGTGACTGACCAGCCACTTGTCATGTTACATCAAAACTTATTTGTTACTCGTGTGTGACCAATTTTTTTCACGCCGACGCAACAATGGACGGCTTCTGCTTCCCGAAACCGCCACTTGAAAAACTTTGCATTTTTGTTCCAGTTACTCGCTCCTTTGCGAGAAAACAAAATCTCTTGAAAACAAACAGTGTCAAGAGTCAAGTTCGAGTTCAAACTTTTGATAATTGTCATCATCTAGAAAAAAAAAACCCGCTTAGGAGAAATTCAGATTTTTGGAAAGAGTAAGCGAAAAGCTGCTCCGTTGTTTTTTTTAACTCTCAGAAACAGGTTTTCCATTTAAGAATAAGAGGAAAATTAATGAAAGAAAGCCGAGAGAAAATTTTCCAGAGAGCCTGTAGTCGTAGATCGGACGAAAACTGGATGTTTGGAGATAAAAATCTCAGTTCTGCGCGAATTTTTTCGCTTAAACATTTATGAAGCCGCCGTGGCATGTCGAGATATGTCGGAAGTGTTAGAAGTCTTCAGAAATTAATAACATAAAGACACGATTTTATCAAAGAGATACGGTGTTGAAAGCCATGAAAAAAGAGCGAACGAGGTGATAAAGAATTTCGGCGAAGCCAAAGGCGGTGACCAGAGAAATATGAAGAAGCTCGGATCGGAGAGCGGGTCGAAGACTTCCAAAAACGCTTTATCAAGTGGTGTTTTTTGAGAATTACGCGACACGATTGCGTGAATTCGACAGAATTGCGTATCCGACTTTTATCAAGTATTCCTCTCTCGGTCCTCTCTCTAACGATCTTGAACGCTCTGTGAGTATAACGATCCGTTTTATTTTCGATTTGTTTCTCACCTTTTTGCTTGGTCTCAAATCAAGATTCTTTGAGAGGGCGGTGTCGGACTTATAAACCAATTTTCATTTTTTAAATCTATTTTTTGGTTTAAAGATGTGGGAAAGCTTCTTTATGCGATAATTAGAACATAAATAAGAGGTTTCCAATTTCGGGAGCCTTAGAATTATAAATATTGGTTTCAGGTTCCAGTTCCCACGACTCTCAGTGGCAAGCAAGAAGTCTGGGTTAACTTTTAAAAAAAAACGCTGTTTTTTTAAATCGATCAAAATCTTAATTTCGTGATGTTTATTGAACTTATTGAAAAGCAAATGTCGCAAAACTATGAAAAAAAAACTCTGCGCAGAGTTTGAGGTTTACGGTACGCTGGGAGACTGCAAAAAGAGCGTTTGTGTCTTTTCTAAAGTTTTGAAAATCTTTCAAGTATTTTTTTACGGCGCGCCGTAAAAGCCGCCGACGGTTTTTCGTAATTACTAATTTTTTGTGGAATTCCGTATGTCGCGATTTTGCATAGTCAGCGATGTTGTAAATATTCATAGATTAAAGCCTATATCTGTCAGGTTTTTGGAAAATTGCTTCACCAGAGTTGCTTTTATATTTTTGCTTTTTTTTTAAATTTTTTATGATTGGGTTTTAAGGTTCAATCTTGGCTGCGGGGCATGAACGCACCAGCCGCTTTTGAATCTTTTCTTATCTTTGACGGTGAGAAGAAGATCGAAATCGAAAAGGACACCAAGGTTTATCTTTTGGTCAAAATTTTCATTCTTATTAGTATTTTGAAGGTACCGAACGCTGCTATATTCACGATTCACAAAGAGGATCACACTCTCGGAAACTTGTTGAAAAAGTTTTTTTTATGATGAAATCGTTTCGAAAAATGTTGTTACAGCCAGTTATTGCGTGATCCGCAGGTTCTGTTTGCTGGTTACAAGAATCCTCATCCTCTAGAACACAAGGTTTTCTTATACAATCTGTTTTTTTTTCTCATTTTTGTTTCCCTTCAGATCGTTCTTCGGGTGCAAACTACTGGCGAAACAACTCCCGCCGATTCGTTGAATAGTGCGATCACCGATTTACTCGCCGAGCTTTCTCTCCTTGAATTTCGTTTCCAAGTAAGAATAATGATTATGTCCGTTTTCAATTTTCATTATCTTTTAACAGGGAGCTCTTGAAAAGAAACAACGACAAACAGAACTGGAACGTGGCTATTAACTGTTCTATTTATTTTTGAAATATATTTATTCGCTTTTATTATGGATTTCTCTTCCCTTCCTCCTTTCGCAACGCCTTTGATTCGCGTAAGCCGTAAAAGAAACGCGGACGCTCATGAGGCGCTCATTATTCAAATAAAGAAAATGGTAAGAGTTTTCAGATTTTAAGAAGCCATACGATGAAATATTTCAGAAAGCTGATCCGGTAGTATTCACTCTGTTTAAAACTCAAAATGAAGGAGAAAAGGACGAAGAACTTCTCAAGTTTCCAGTTGTCGATTATCAAAGGCTTCCTTTGTCATTAGAGGAGCCGACAGTTCAGGAATCTTCAAGCGGTCTTGTCGAAGGTCCCGTAAATTTCGATTTATTCTGTTATTTGTTCCAAATTTCAGAAAGTCACCAAAATCCACTATCTTTTGTCGATGAGGCAGCAATCGGTGCGATAGGCGATTATCAGGCTAACACCGGAAAAAGAGAGAATCTTCCAGAAACCATTACTGTTCGTTTTGATATTATTTGAACACCTTTTTTGAATTTCAATCCGTCATTGATGATTGAAGACGAGTCTGAGTTACTAGAATCTATTTGAAATCGAATTTATCCATTTTTTTTTTTTTGCTTTCTTTGTCTCGACCATGAAAGCCAATTGAGAACAGAAAAAAAAAACTGAGACGCTTGAGGGAAATATTAGCGGCTTAGCAAAGATGTTACGTGAAAAAAACCAAATCGCTGTAAGTTTTGATTAAAAATCAACCTGAAACCAAATGGCGCAGAAAAAAATCTGCGCCTAAATACGAAGGAATTGGTTTGAAAGGTCCAAATTTTCCTTTGATAGATCGGAACTTCTGTAAGCTGTTTTTCCCTAAGAATATTTTTCCATTACAGCCGGTTTTTTTCAATAAGAGATTTTCTGGGTTTTTGTGCTCAAACTCAATGAAATTTTTTCAGCTCAATGGAAAGCCACTGGTGCCATTTTCTCCGACAAACAACGACCAGTTCGTTTTCGACTACTACAGGATCCAGCCATCAGGGCGAGGGCTGGACAGCAGCCAAGTGGCGATGTACAATGCAGAGATCGCAGTGGCAAATGCGGTTTGCGACGAACTTTTCGACGTTAGATTCACTAGCAAGTGTGGTCGGGGGCTGATTCCACAGACTCATTGGAAAAGTTGAGAATCGAAGCCGAACTCGTTCACGAGCTCGCAGATTCTGAAGGCAGCGACGTCGCCGCCGACGACGACGACGATTCCAACGCCGAAAACAACTGGCGCAACGAATATCCTGACGAGGACTCTGCCGATGATTACGAAGAGCACGATGTCAGTTTCTCACTGATTGGTAATTAATTTCAAAAAATATTTTGTTTAGAACAGTGGTATCCTCGAAACTTTCCTATCAGTCATTATGTTGTTTTTATTTTAGAAAAATCTAATTCATCTGAACGATATTCTCCATAACAATAGGATCAATTTGTTTTTAAGTGTGAGATCAAATTAGATTGAGATCATTTCTCTAAATATAATTTTCTGAATTTTCTCGATGTTCAATCTCAAGATGGCAATTCATGAGGAGCTTTCATTTTCTGTTCAATAAAATTATGTGCTGTAGCGGAAATCGAAAATCTTCATCAAAAAGTTTTATTAGCTTTCGTTCGAATAATTTAAAAAAGAAAGTTTTGACTTGAATGCATTAGGACACGGATTTCGACGATTACGACGATGAACGGCGTTGGCGTCAAGAGGCATATTCTGAAGAAGGCGTCCGTCACCAGCTGGAGAAGTTCTCCGTCGGGAACCGCAATGAGCCTTATCTGAATGACTCGACAGACGAAGATTAGTTCCCTTTCCTCCATCATTTCTTGTTATTTTCTACCTTTTGTTTCTCAAGTTTTTTATTCAAATAAATATGCGGTTGATAAATAATAATGAAGAGAGAGAGAGAGTGAGATTATTAAGTTTGGAGAGATCGGTAGAGAGATCAGACAATGACGTGGTCTCGGATCATTGAAAGCTGAACGCCGTGCGTATTGTCAAAGGTCTGGTCGTGGTTGAACTGGTCGAAAACTCGCTCTCCTGTCTGACCAGGTATCCGCGACGTCACCTGGGAATTTAACCTCTTTTTTATCATTTTCGGGCTTTCCTCACTTGATTGCATACACTTTGGCCAACGACCTGATCTTTAGTCGAATAGATAGAGTAAACATATTGTCCCTCATAGTGCGAAAAGCGATTTATGTCCTTAACTTTGATTTTGAAAAAAGTTGTTTCGATTTTGCAACCTGAAGAAATTCGCTCTCGTTTGGACACATTCCAGAATACAGCCCATTGACTTGATTGCAAATAGGAGCTATTGCCAGAGCACAGGCTGGCAGCCCAACACCGCCAACCTGAAGGGGAATGTTTTTAAAGCCTATTCGTTATTTTAATGTTCAAAAGTTGCCTGGGGGCTGATTCCATGATTCGGTCCAGCGACGCCAACGAAAGTGTCAACGATTCTAGTTAGAGGGCTTCCTAAGTATTCTCCCGTGTCCACGCAGCGCCCTAAATCCGGCATATCGTTAACCTGGCGTTGGAACGAGCGAAAAACCTCCGAGAATGGCTTTTCGGGCAACCACAACGCCTAGAGAATACGCGACTACGTCGATGTTAGTACCGGTGTAGAGGCGAACAGAAACGAGTAAAGAACGGACCTAGAGAAATTTTCATGGGTTTTAGAAAATCTGGGAGATCAGGGGTCAAGAAAGTCAAGAACGTCTGTCCCGAACGGTGATTTACCTGCTTGATGTACTCACAACGCATGCTATACTCGACCCATTTCAAAGGATTTCCTTGTGCGCCGTTAAAGTAAGTTGTCGAGTAGAGCTCATTGGCGCTGTAGCCGTTCTGTCTGAACTAGCACACGTGTCCCAATGAAAGAGGAAAGATCGCCAAACTTGGTTTTTCTACTGTGGCTAGTTAATCAGATTTTTTTTTTCTAACTACTACATTGCACTGCCAATGTGTAATCTTTTCACAAAATCGCGAATTAGGACGGGAAAAAGAGAAGATGAAACCTCACCGGAACCAATTGGCCGCCTCGGTTGGCTTCTCACCGGCTGTGTCGGAAACGCCATGCACGAAAACTACTGGTTGATTGGTGAGGTTCTCGTCGCGGTTTTGCTTCCCTCCATAAGACCCTCCAGGACCGAGGTCAAGCCTGAAATGGACAATTTTATTGAGGAAACAGAAGTTTAACATTAACAGAAGCTAACAGAAAACAAGTCCAACAACAACAACACGAGCTTTGAAAGAATTTTTTTTCAACAAAAACAGATTATGGAAAAAGCTCTTTGTTTTTCATTTAGCGGTTTCGCTTAAGTATACATCAGCAAAATGGATTTTTACCGGGCTCAGTACCTACGAGTCGTGCTTGAAAAATGAAGAGAAGCGTAAACAGGCTAATTCGAATCATACCAGAGCTCATCTCTATACACATGATAAGCTCTCAGCTTCACGTACCTCTCAATCTGGTTGCGTACTTCTGGTCCGTATCGTTCGGAGATCCAACTCGAAAAGTCTGGTGTGAAACGCGACTGAGCCGAGTTCAGAAGAGCTAAGAGGAAAAAAAGAAACGCGCGATCCATTGCGCGACGCTTGTCTTCTGACCGCCGAAGCCACAGCGGCCGGCGCCAAGGCGGTTTTCAGCCGATCTGGTTTTCTGCCGTTCTCTTCTTTGCGGCTTTGCAACTCCCATCGAGAATAACCCACGGCTTTGACGCTTTCCCTTTTCTTTCGGATTCTTGGAAACTTAGGCGAGTAGTTTTCCGTCTTCTGTTTCCAGTGCAATTGATTTTCAAAGTTTGTAGGTGAGACGAAGAAACTCTATCTTCAAAGAAAAGACAGGCTTATAGAAAATTAGTTGAAGGAAACAGAAACATGTTCTCCAGAACTTTCGAAAAAATGGAGAGACTCATGTTTTGTGTACGTCTTTTCCTTTCTGGTTAGTTCTAAATTATTGAAGGAGCTTTCAGTTCAGTTTTGAGTGTTTTGATTTCTTTCGACCAAAGAAACGTTAAAAAACTTTATCGCATCAGTAAATAATGAGTGAATGATATAAGTAATAAGTTAATGAAGAAACTTTCAAAAGAAAGTGCCGTTTGATGCGAGGAGATAAGCGATCTGATGAAGCCTGGAGATGCTGCCAAAAAGAGCGTCTGGGTCCAGTGAGTCTGAAGACTCCAATCCATCGAGCCTTTCAGTCATACTGAAAATTTTCAAGAAGAAAGTTAGAGAAAAATAATTGAGGTGCTGGGTAGATTCATGATTTTCGTTTTTCAATAATTTTTGATGAGTTTTTTTGAGAGGCATTGGGCAAACTGTAGAAGATATTAATAAATCGTCAAGCGAGATAAGGAGATTGCAAAATAAATTACTGTGAATGTTCAAAACTTTCAAAAATATAAAGTGAAGCATCATGGAAAAATTAACAAAGAAAAAAAAAGTGAATGAAATCTGCGAGTTTTCGAGGAGATATTGGGAAAAATTCCGCGGGTTTATCAAAGTCATCATGATTTTTTAACCCTCTTACGATTCTTTTGAATCAAGTTATAAGCTATTATCTAATTTTTTTTTCGAATTGACTACAGTATAAAACTGAAATAAATACTAGCTTAATTGTGCAGGAATCGCAGAGATGCAGATGGGCGCAGATCGTGGGGTTTGGTCGGAACCTTTTCAACTGCGTGTATACGACGCTCAGTACGTCTTGCACTGAAATTAGTACTTTCAGTATAGAAATGGAAAGCTGAATCTTAAGATTTTAGTTTTGGAAAAATTATGAAAAGTTAGTTAGCAGAACTTCCAAATGATTTTGAGTTTTTTTTTTTGTAATAAATTATTTATTATCAGGCTGTCCAATAATTCTTGTCCGAAAATTTTCAAAATTCTATAATTTTTCTTAGAAGTGTTATAATGTCAGGCAAGTGTAAGAATCTTCTAGAAGGTTCTCCAGAGTTTCACGCTAGGGGTATACAAGGCGCAGTCGTCGCGTCCAGCTACCAGTACAAGCTAAAATGGACCAAGGTCGAAATTGGTACGTTCGTGTACTACCAGCCGCGGCTGGGCAACGACACGGGCACCGCGATCGCCAACATCTGCAGAGCGTGCAAGGAGGACGCAGTGTCCCAACGCACAGTCAGGCGTTGGTTCAATCGTTTCGAGAGCGGCGACACGAGCCGACCTGCTCCCGCTGAAGATCATGCTCTGCTGCTGGTGGACCGCCAAGAACTGCTGTACTTCGAGCTGCTCCCGCAAGGCAGGACGGTCACCGCCTCCATCTACACCGATCAGCTCGAGAAACTAGCTGCCGCCATCCGAGAAAAGCGTCCCCAACGTGCCTCGGTCCATCTTCAGCGCGACAACGCACGACCCCACGTGGGGAAGGAGACCCAGCAGAAGTTAGCGACGCTCGGCTGGGAGACGGTTTCCCATCCGCCGTATTCCTCGGACCTCGCTCCCTCCGACTACCACATGTTCCGTCCGCTCGAGCACCGTTTGGCCGGGAAAAAAAATTCACCAACTACGACGAACTAAAGTCCGACTCCGCAGACTTCTTCGAAGCGCAGCCCCCGGAGTTCCGAGCGAAGGGCATCGGCAATTTGCCCAATTGATGGGCCACTGTCGTGAATAACTGTAGTGATTATATTGTTGATTAGACTAGTTTTTTTCAATAAAGTTAAAAAAATTAAAATGATGAAATTTTCGGACAAGAATTATTGAACAACCTGGTATTTACTAACCGACGTCTTTGCAGAACTTTTGTAGGTTCTCCTGATGTATCGAAGAATCGCAGAGTTGGTCGGCGTCCTCAAATATTAGGCTATTTCTCATAGAATGATTTTTGAAACAATTAAAAAACACATTGTATAGTTTTATTACTTGTATCTTCGAAACCGATTTTTAAAAAAAAATTTTGTTTTTAATGATTACATTCGAAAAAATATGGATCCCACTCTTCTCAAAGACTCGTTGTCAATAGCTTCGTCGGCCATCGCAATAACTTCCTCACAACGTGTGCAAATGAACGTGAAAAACGCCTGAAACTTTTCCGTTTAGTGTTTTTTTCAGTCTTCCCAACCTGAATCCTGTGGAAGACGTCGACGACGATGTTACCTTTGTGATTTTCTTGTGAGCTAACAGAACTCAAAGAAATCAATGTAATAATGAAAATGAGGAGACGCATCATTAGCTGGTGAGCAATCGACCGCTTACTTAAATATTAGCCTGTTTTTGCGGCCTTATCACAGAGGCTCCGTGTTTTCAGCGTTCCATTCAAAACTTCAAAAAAAAAGTTTATTCCCAGGACATCATGACAAAACGTGAAACAAGAACAACAACGAAAGACAGAAACAATTTTCAATAAATACGAGATTTTTCTGGCGTTTTCTACAGCTCTCCGTGGTCAAAAGATGGCTGACCGGGAAGCTTAGTGAAATCCATCGCACCACCTGCGCCTTCCTTGGACTGAAAGCGCGAGTTTTCTCCAGAACGGTCCAAAATTAACTCACGTCGATGCTCAGCCACTGTCTTCCATTTCCAAGTTGCAGACCGGCCAAGGTCTTTCCGTTCTGTACAATCTTGGCGCCGATCTTCCAGTCACCCTGCAAAATCCGCTTTGATTCAAGCTTTTCACGATGAATTGACTCCGAGCTGCGGAATCGGCAGAGCGCCAATGTCGATGGGATCTTTTCCGACAAACGCGGTCAGGTCGATCGGCTGACCAGTCTTCAGCTTGGCCAAGTCGCAAACTCGTGGCGCCAACTTGCAGAGGTCGTACTGGCTGCAAAATTCAAACTTTCTTTTGTTTCAGCTCTCTTTAACTTGGAATTCTGATTTGCATTGTTCTGTGCTGTAAGTCTGAGCAGGCAAAAAAGGCAAACCATAGCTGGTCGGGGACGAATTGGTTCTTGCTCTTGCCGTTTTCGCACACCACGCCAATCATCCAGCTGTCCTTCTCGACGTTGAGCGCCAACTTGAGCTCCGGCTCGTCGGTCAGCGGCTCGACGACCTCGACAGTGCCTTTGTGGAGCTTGAAGTGGCCGGGAAGACTGAACAACGCCTTTCCGCTCTTGGTGCACACCGGCTTCTTCTTGTCGTCGTAGGTGGTCACTTCGATGTCCTTGAAAAGAACCTTGCCCTTTCCTGCAACCAGAAGCTACTCGGGAACGCAGTTTAAACGGTACCCTTTGTGCTGTCGCTGAACTTGATGACGTTGTCGACGCCATCCTCGCACTTGGCCTGAACTAAGGAGATCAGCGCCGCAGCCAACAAACACCGGACTAACATTCTGAAAACAAAAATAGCTCAAAGAGGGGAAAAAGAAAAAGAAAAGAGGACGCTACAAATATTTAATTAATTTAGTTTTTGATCAGATAAAAAAATAGAATTGTCAGTTATGAGTTTTGGTTTGAAAAAAATGTTGCGTTGGCACTTTTTTTGTTTTTTTGATTTTTTTACTCAACTTATCGGTTTCGTTCGAGAATACTTATTATTGGAATAGATAATCTCGCATAGCTATCTCTTTTTTTAACATGTTTATTTTGGCGGAGCGTGTCACGAAAGAGGCCTTTTTATCGGAGCTTCAGAATTTTATCAAAATTTCCCAATTTTCAGAACTCAAAAATTCCGATTAAGATTGGCATCTTTATCGGAAGAATACGAACAAAAAAAATAAAAAAAAAGTTCCACTCATGGACTTTGTAGATCTTCCAGAGGTTTCAGTACAAAAATGAATACAAGGAACAAAAAGCGATAAAAAGAGACAGTATTTGGATTTCGTTTTACGAACGAGTGAGCACGAAATGAACAGTTATTCGCGTCGTATGAGAGAATGCGACGTGTACTTGTGCCTGTTCGACTTGAAACACCAAGGCTTATCTACCAGCTCCGTTTATGGCCATAAATTTGATTAGAGGCGGCGTTTGGCCACGTTGACTAGTAACTTATGCCCTCGGTGTAGATTTCAGTACAAACTGTACAGTTCAATCCGATCCTTTTGGCTACCGTTCAATCAGAGATGGGCATGAACTAAAACAGTTATCAAAGAATAGAATGAATAGAGTTGATAGAAGTAGGATGACGAGCTTGCCAGATAGCCCCGTAAAACACATCTAAAAGGAAAACAATGCTACCACATTCAGTTGCGTCATTTCAAAACAAAACAAACAAAAACAAAAATTGTGACGTTTGTTAAAAAGCTCCCGCAATAATCTGATTTGCTTTGAAACTTTTAATACTCCTAAGAACTTCGGAAAATCTTTTTTTTTCATAGATTTCTTTATCTTCTTTACCTTATCCTCTTCAAGAGATAAATTTTTGGAAAAAGTTTTGATGGTTGAAAGCGAGCACTCTTGTTTCGATTTCCTTTCTAGATTCTTATCACTGCAATCTCTTATCATTTTCTTTTTCGAAGCTTTTCTACTGCCCGAAATCCGATACAAAGCTGGTTGACTCTCTTTCAATCAGTACTCTTTCGAAAGGAAGCATTTGAAGTACTCTACGATTACGTAGAATTAAAGCTATCAGTTCGGCTTAACCCTAATTCAAAAAGAACTTGAGACGGCCGGCAGTACACTCCAGACAACCACATTTATATTTTGAAAACACTTTTTTTCAAAGTATCGAAGCGATCCTCTTGTAATCAACTAGAGAGTTTTTCCTTCTCTAGCAATCAGTATTCTGCTAAAAATCAGAATAAGACGATTATTCAAGCTTTATGAATTAGACATCAATCTCCATTGGCGCATCGAGATGATGAGACATTTTGCATTCACCATTTTGGTTTTCCCGTCCATGGCCTAACTTTCCAACTTTTTTTGCTTTCAAATTTAAAAAAAAATGTTTTTTTTTGTCTAATCGCTCATGTTTAGCGTTTTTTTCTCTTATATCTCTGTGTGTTATCGATCAATCAGTGAACCATGCGAAGCTTTAATGAATCATGTTATAATTAAAAATTTTTAGAAATACTTTCTTTGTAATTAAAAATTGCGGAATTTCCTTTTGAAACACTTTCGCGATTTATTGAGGTTTGAAGCGATTTAATTTGAATTCATAAAATTGTTACAGCAAAATGGCCACTCTTTTGCCAACCTTGTGGTCATTTGTCCGCGACACTGTTCGTGAGGGCTTCGACAGTAATGCTTTTGACCTTGTTTGTTAAAGATCTTTTTCAATTATCACAATCTAATCTTTTAAGGAAGTTTCAAGAGACTTTGACACCCAAGATATAGCTCAAGCGACTGGCAGATATGAACAAGAAGCAAAGGATTTGTTGCATAATGTAATTTATATTTTCTGGCAAGGAAATTATAAAGTCCATTTTAGAAAACCGAGATCAAAAAGCTGATATCATACATAGACCTGACGACGTTGGCTGGCGATGACACTGCTGGACGAGTTATAGCTCTGGCTGATAGGGCCTTAAACCCAGTTCCTACGGTCAGCCACAAATTATTTTTCTGCTCAACTGAATTTTTTTAGGATGGCTCAGTTCGGTGCGCTGCAGTCTGTGTATACCCTCAGAGAGTGTTGGATGTGAAAAATCACTTGAAAGCGAAAGGTCGAAAACTTAACATTGCCGCAGGTTTTCGACCATTTTTTAAGAGAAAATTTTATTTTTCTAGTCGCCGCCGGTTTTCCTTCTGGGCAATATCATCTGCAGTCAAAGTTGATGGAAGTTTCACTTACCGTCGATGATGGCGCCACGGAAATCGATATCGTGATTAGCCGAGCAGCGGCTCTCGATGAGGATTGGAAAAGTTGGTTGATTTAAGTGGCTTTTTTTCTCAACTCGATTTCGTTTGAAAAAGTCTTTTTATAGCGGTTTATGACGAAGTTCTTGCCCTGAAGAAGGCATGCGGCAGTGCTCACATGAAAACGATTCTGGCGACGGGGGAACTCAAAACGCTCAGCAATGTATATAAAGCAAGTTGGGCTAGTATTTTGGCAGGTAGGGTCCGAGCTGAAGAAGCTCTCTAGTGAAGGAACCTAGGTTCCGATTTCATCAAGACTTCCACCGGCAAAGAGTCCGTTAACGCCACTTTGGAAGTCGCCTACGTCATGTGCTCAGCCATCAAGCGGTGGTACGAGCAAACCGGCAAAAAGGTATTTTTTTAGGTCTAGCTGAAAAGGGAACTTTTCTTAATTACGCTGTCGAAGTGGTTAAGCTCAACTTCAAATAAACGATCGTGGATTTCGAACTTCAAACATTAAGCTATTAAAGTTGATTTTCATAACTGGTAGTGATTAAATAATGGTTCTCGTTTCTTTTAAATAATTCTGTCTTTTTAAAGGTGGGATTCAAGCCGGCTGGCGGTATCAAAACGCCGGAAGAAGCACTCGCCTACGTCGCCTTGATCAGAGAAGTAAAAATTACTTCTTCGAACGATGAAATAGTTGTGGTTTGCAGGTTCTTGGTGAAGAATGGTTGAACCCCCAACTTTTCCGCATTGGCGCGAGCAGCCTTCTTGACAATTGCCTTAAAGCTCTTTAGATTACCTTATAGATTTTGGAATTTGATTCATTTCTGCATTGATTAGTATCCCGTGTGTTCTGAAATTCAGGGTTAGAATTTTTACGCGATAGAGAGATTGTCTGCCATGTTGATACTTTTCGGTTGTGTTCATGTTCGATAAATTTTATAGTCTCCTCGAGAAGTCCAAGAACAATTTTATGTTTGGAAAAGTCCTTGGATATACTTTGAAATGATAAATTATTTTATTATTTTTTTATATTTTCATGTCCACTCAACATGAGGGTGACATTTCTACACCCAGACCTTGGAATCGGCGGCGCGGAGAGGCTAGTTTCAATTTTTAGAAAAAAACTTTTTTTTATGGTTTCAGATTAATTGTCGACGCTGCTGTTGCTCTGCAGGACCGAGGGCATACGGTAAAAGTCGTCACGAATCAATTCGATACGTCGCACTGCTTCAAGGAAACCGAACAGCTGGGTCAGTTTTTTTTGTTGTTAGGATAGTTTTCTAATATTTCGCGTTTTCCTTCTTCGCTTTCAGCCCTGATCAGGTAACACCGTTTTTTTTTTCAAAGAAGAAACAATAACAATGATTAATATTTGTTAAATTTTGTTTTCAAAAGGTGCAAAAGGGTTTTATACATTTTTCTTCTAAATAAAGGGTAGTGCATCAAATTATCGTTTCATTTCGGTATTCAGGATTTTGATTTTTATGTTTCAATCATGAATATACTACCTTTTTTATATAGGAAGGTTCAAGACGAAGAGTTTATTGAGAAAAAAAAGTCGGAAAGGTACCTAGTGGTATGAAAAAATCGGAAAAGTCACCGTTCGAAAATTCGCTGGCTTTTTCATACCTCCCTAATTCGGACCTGACCGATGGATCTCCAAAATGTAGGCATTTTGTACATTTACAGATATCCAAGTGGTAAAATGGTTTCCACGGTCAGTTCTGGGCAAAATGAACGCCTTGTGTGCTTACATTCGTATGTGCCTCGCGGCTCTCTACATCTGTATGTTTTATAGAAGCGACGTGATTGTATCTGATCAGGTTTCGTTCAAATTCTCCAATCGCTTCGTCAATTTATCTAATCCAGGTTTCCGCCTGCTTATGTGTTCTTCGTATGTTCAGCTCAGCAAAGCTAGTTTTCTATTGCCATTTCCCAGATATGCTCCTCACTAAGAGGGAAACGGTCGCAAAATCCGCTTATCGGTTATCCTATTTAATTTTGGTACCTTTCAAACTTCCAAAAGTTGAGGTTTGTTCTGGATTCGGTGGAAGAATGGACGACTTCCATGGCCGACGTCATCTGCGTCAACAGCGAGTTCACGGCGGCGGTCGTTCGTCAGACTTTTCCTTCTTTGGCGAATCGCCACCTCACCGGTTCCTCGAAATGCTCTGCAGTCACTTAACTCTCGAATTTGAAGTTGTTTACCCATCTCTGAACACAAATTTCTTCGATTCCATCGAACGCTGCGATCTTTCCACGTTTATTCCTCGTGGAAAACGCTACATTTTCACTTCCTTGAACCGTTTCGAAGTCAAAAAGAACGTGAAACTCGCTTTGCAAGCGTTCGGTTAGTCGTTTCGAATGAATCATCCAAATGTTCTGTTTCAGAAGTTTTACGTAAGAGCTTGCCCTCGGAGACTTTCAAAAAGTGTCTCCTGGTCTTGGCTGGTGGATACGACCGTTTGAACGCCGAGAACGCGCAATACTTCGGAGCGCTGGTCGACTTGGCCCAGGAGCTCGACATGTCCCAGGATCAAGTTTCCTTCATCAAGTCGCCTTGTCAGTTTCCTCCACGCGTCACTTTTCCTACTCTATCTGGTTACAGCCGATGAAGTGAAGGTGAATCTTCTGAGAGGCAGCAGAGCCGTTCTCTACACACCCGACAGAGAACACTTTGGCATCGTTCCCATCGAGGCCATGTACCTCGGCGCCCCCGTCATTGCCGTCAATTCCGGAGGTTGGGGATCTCCGAAAAGACTTCTGATGACTACAGCGGAAGAGAAAATACAAAGTCAACTCTCAAAATTTCGATTTTATTCAATTTCATAAATGAGTTTGATGTACACTGAAATCCTCAGATAAGTTTTAGACAGAGCTGACCAAAATTTTTTCGCTCCATTTTCTCCATATCTTCTGAATAATTGCCCTTTTTCCAATAGTAACAAATGCAAAACTAACTAGCTTTCTTATGAAAATTTTGCTTCCATATTAGCATTAAGGACCGCTTGAGACTGTTTCTGAAGGTGAGACAGGTTTCCTGGTTGATCAGACTCCGGAGGCGTTCGCAGAAAAGATGAAGATGTTGATCCAAGATGATGTCACTTGGAGAAAAATGTCGGAAAAGGTCTGAAAAATTCATTTGCTCGCGCAATTCCTTCAGCTTTCAGGGGACGGATCGAGTCCGCCGCTTTTTTGGCTTCGAGGCTTTTTCAAATCGCTTCGACGAAATTATCAATGGAGCAAATTCATAAGAAAATATATTCTATTAATTTTTTTTTGCGGGGTTGTAATTATTTTCAGTGGGTATAACTTGCATATATTCTCATTTCTAAAAGTTTGGAAAAATGAAATTATAACTTTTATTCTGTTTTAGCTTAACTGTGCACTTTCATTTTTCATTTTTTTCAAAAATTTTTGATAAATTTTTTTAAGAAAAATTTTTTTCAATATTCTCAAAACTAGTGTCCAGTTGAAAAGCTGATGAATATTTTCTTTTCCTTCGCCTTTATTTCCAGTTTTCTTTCAACTTTATTAGCTTTTTTTCAATCGCAGGAAAACTTTTCAATTATTTTTAATTGCCTTTCATTCAAAAGCTATTGAAGGGTTTATTTGACTCCTGACCATTGTGAGTCCGTCTCAAAAAAAAAATCTATTTGAAACGGCGCCAAAAGATTGTTTGCGTGGAAAATTGGGACGCGATGGGCGCGAGAGTTGCACGACGGGCATCGGTTTACCTTGCATCTCTCTTTTTAACCTTGGAATCTAACTCTTTTTCTTTTCCAATTGGGGTTCGCCGGCCTGTTTCTCTCATTTTCCCCAATTGTGATTTTTTCTTTCTACTTTGTGCAAAAATTTCTAGAAAATAGATTCTTTTTGAGTTTTCTCAAGCTTTGTCCCGCGTAATCCGAGATAAGCAGTCATTGAACTTGTAGCTGGGAAATCCAAAACTCTTACTGGGGGTTTTTTTTTACTACTTCAACTTTCTAGAAAAATATCAGGTTCATGAAGTAAGGTTTTCGGAATCGAATTCATCAACTGAACTCGTAAAACTTTTTTGAGCTAGCGAAACATTTCCAGAAGAAGATTTAAAATTTAAATGCGTTGAAACATTTTCGGTCAAATATTGGACATGTTTCCTTCTAGCTGAAAATTCCGAAGATTTTCGAGGCGGTGAATTTCGAAATAAGCAAGTTACTTTGAAATAAACGACGATGTATCCAATCAGTCAAGTTCGCACGATGACTATCGAGAAGAAATTTCATTTTTTTTTTCATGTGAATAGTACTCTGAACCTCTCTTTTCCGAATGCGTCTTTCGCTGAAAATGACGCTGTGTAGCCACAAAGATGCTGACAAAAAGGGGCGCTCAGAGTTGTAGTTCTTATCTCTGCTGCCCTATTTATTTTCCTGGCTGTCTTTCTCTTGGAATACAGCAGTCGTCGTGTTGCATCATGTGTACTCAATTCTAGTTTTTTTTTCTCGAAAACTTGATTGATTCTTGTTTTCTTCATCTATATGCGCGCATGAAGAAAGGATTTTCTCATTCAGATTTTTTTCCTATTTTCCTTTCTGCTGTAAATTCGATGAATAAATTCTTCTAGGTTATTTTTGAAAAAGAACTAAAACAAAAGGACCTAAATTTCTACTTTTTATAACTGCTGTTCGTTTGCGTTTATAAATTTCTTTTTGTTCTTCAAATTTTATGACGCATTTTTTTAGAAAAATGAAGGCATTCATCGGCAAGCCCGCTCCGGCTTTCAAGGCTCAGGCTGTTCTTGACGGCGACTTCGTCGACGTTTCGCTCGAGGACTACAAGGGCAAATACGTCGTCCTTTTCTTCTATCCTCTTGACTTGTAACATTGAAAATTTAAACAAATTATTTTGAGATGCGTTTCAGCACCTTTGTTTGCCCGACTGAGATCATCGCCTTCTCGGACCGCGCCAAGGAATTCGAGGCTATTGGCGCCCAAGTTCTCGCCTGCTCTACCGACTCTGTCTTCTCCCATCTCGCTTGGATCAACCAGGTTTTTACCTGAGCAAAAAATTGTCATGAACGTTTCATTTGTGAAGAAAATCAGTTAATCTTAACTCGAAACATCATGAGCGAAAAAGTTTAAGCAGATTTTTTGGACTTGAAAATATTTTTGTATAGCAATCGTTTTTAGACTCAGAAATTGGGAACTCACATTTGCGCTTTTCAGAAATGAATCAATGGGAAAAGGAAAAAATTGAAAAAAATTGAAGCAATAGAAAGTTTCATTTAAACATCAATGTTTAAAAAGTTTGGGTGAGATTTTTCGATTTTTTTTTTCGCGCTTTTAAACTTTCAAATGTTTTTTTTAATTCAATTATTTTTTTGAATATATTTTATTCACAGCTATCATTTCATTGGGATCTGATTTGCAGCCCCGCAAGCACGGTGGACTCGGTGAAATGAATATTCCTGTTATCGCGGACACCAACCACCAGATCTCGCGCGACTACGGAGTTCTCAAGGAAGAAGACGGCATTGCTTTCCGAGGTTTCTTTCTTTTTTTCTTTCCTTTTTGGAGATTTAATACTGCGATCGTTTCCGTTTCTTATTCAACTTGAAAAAATCGCAGGACTTTTCATCATCGACGGAAACGGCACTCTGCGCCAGATCACCATCAACGATCTTCCAGTCGGTCGCTCTGTCGACGAGACTCTCAGACTCGTTCAGGCCTTCCAGTACGTCGAGAAGGTACCGCATTCACTTCAAATTCACTTTTCAATCATCTTGGTTTTAGCACGGTGAGGTGTGCCCAGCTGGCTGGACTCCTGGACAGGAAACCATCAAGCCCGGAGTCAAGGACAGCAAGGAATACTTCAACAAAGCCAACTGAAGCTTTTCGAGAAAAATTCATCTAACTTGTTTCATGATATTTAACGTTATCCGTATTATATTGAGTAGTTTGAAATAAATATTTTCTCTCGCCTGAAACATTAAAATTTAAATTATATACATTTCTCTAGAGGTATTTCTAAAAGTTACGAACCCCTCTGAAATCTTCACAGAAGGTGTAAAATTGGTCAAAGAAATTTTTCTAGATCTTGTACAAGCAGCACGCTTACTGGGCGTCCGTGGTCGTGATTAACAAGTGGAGGGACTAGTTTCACTAATGTCCAAAGTGTCGGCCCGGCCTCGTCTGCTAGTTTTTGCACCTCTATTTTTTTCGTTTTTTTGCTTTAGAATTTTCTCAAAAATAAGTGACTCCCAAATTTTTTTATGTAGTTGTAAGAGAAAAGGAGAAAAAAAGCTTTCGGTTTCATCAGATAGCACGTTTTCTTTTTCTTTTTTTTTCTGCCGAGACAAAAAAAAGTTGATTATTTTCTCTCTTCTAAATAGAAAAATATGCATAGTGTCCAAAGATAAAATGTGAAAAAATAGTTAATTCTTTTTCTTCTGTTTTATTTGTCCAAAAGTTGCTCGTTTTCAAGCTGAGTCATCATTCTTATCTTTTAAAAAAATAGCGTGGGTTTTGACACTTCTTTCTTTCACATTAATATCAACCTATGTTCAATCTCATTTTAAACTATTTTTTGCTCTTAGACTTTTTGAATGCAAAGTTTCAGGTCATTATTTCTCAAGATGGGGATGGAAGAGGACACAGACATCAAGCTTAAAATTCGATTTCTCGGACAGGTTGATTCTCCAAAAAAAAAAAATCAAAATTTTCCGACTTTAGGTTGTGGTTTTGTATGCGCGACCTCCTCTGGTTTTAGATTCATTCTTTTCATTGATCAAAGAAGCTTGTAAACAGCCTTCATCACAGGAAATCACTGTCAAATGGATTGATGAAGATGGTAATTGGGCGATTTTTATGTTAGGAGGAAAATGTTTTCAGGAGATCCAGTTTCCATCGATTCTCAAATGGAGCTTGATGAAGCTGTGAGGTGCATGCAAGTATGTATCAGTTTTTGAGGGGAAACTTTTTGAAGCAGCATCATATTATCTAAATCAAAAATCCTTCATTACAGGTTGGACAAGACGCTGAGTTGAATATTCATGTTTTTCTTGGAGTTCCTGAACTTCCCGGCCTTCCTTGCCTTGGCGAAGACAGTAATCATCAGTTTCACATATAAGTATACCTCTGTTTCTCAGAAACTGTGTATCGCCGAGGCGCGCGACGATGGAAGAAGTTCTATCTGTTCAATGGTCATCGGTTCCAAGCTAAACGGTTAAACAGGTGAACACATTCTATGAGAATCGTAAGAAATACTTGAAAAACTCCAGAAGGATACAATGTTTCATTTGCCACGACTACATCTGGGGCATCGGACGGCAAGGCTATCGTTGCGTTGATTGTAGACTCTGCGTTCACAAGAAGTGCCATCGTCTAGTGCGAACTCATTGTGGCCAGGTTTTCAAAAAGCTCGCTAGGCTTTTTTGCATTTACAACCCCTTATAGTCGTCAGGAACAGTGTTCAAGAGAAAAGGAAATCCAAAACTTGGCGCATCTCAAATGGATCACGAATGATGACTTTGTCCTGTTCAGACATCGCCCGGCTCTATTTCTTCGGCGCCACCAGCTTTGGCAGGTCGACCGACATCGTCGAATGGCGAGAACAAGCCGAGGATTCAGAACGGGTCGAGACCCCTCAGCGGCCTCGACAACGGCGCTTTCCAGGAGGCCGAAATCGAGAGCTCCAAGGAAAACTCCGCCGTTCCGATGGTCTCTTCATTATTCTTATTCACTGGGATCGTGGAAATATTATAATACAAACAGTAATTTTTCGAATTTTTTTCCACCTAAGCCCACGTTTTTTTTACTCTTTTTCATGAACACATTTTGAGTTTGAAAAATTTCGCTCCCCTGAAGCCATAGAAAGCTTTTTTTGGATATGATGTATTTTTTTGAACTATATACTTTTTGAATATTTGAAAATGTCGAGGTATATTGAATATTTGAAAATGTCAATTTTCGGGAGGTATGGCCATAATCGAATTTCTAATTTTTACAATGTAGCTTTCGAAAAGTAAAAATAAAATTAATAATTTGCTTATAATTCGAGTTTCAAAATAGCCCTTCATTCATATTTTCCATCAAGCTTTTTTCGATTATGAGTTGAAGAGTTTTCAGGGAGTAGCGCCGTCAAAATGGTCAGTATCCTTGAGCGACTTCAAGCTTCTCACCGTCATAGGACGAGGATCTTATGCAAAAGTGAGTTTTTCCATCTATTTAGCACCTTCAGTATAATTGCAACCTAATTATTTTTCGCAGGTAGTACAAGCTGAACATAATACGACGAAGCAAATCTATGCGATCAAAATCATCAAGAAGCAAATGTTCAACGAGGACGAGGACATTGACTGGGTTCAGACCGAAAAATCTGTTTTTGAGGCAGCTTCGAATTATCCGTTTTTGGTCGGACTTCACTCTTGTTTCCAGGTTTTTTGCGATTTTAGCTGTCCTTTCATCTTTTTTTTTTCTTCAGACGGAGTCTCGTTTGTTTTTCGTTATTGAGTTTGTCCCTGGCGGAGATTTGATGTTCCACATGCAACGACAACGTAAATTACTCGAAGAACACGCTAGGTATGTTCAATTTTCCAATCGCATACTTATGTCGTTTTCAAGCCGTAACTAGATAAATTCACTTTTAATTATTAAAACTCTTCAGATTCTACTCGGCAGAAATTATTCTGGCTCTGCATTTTCTGCACTCTCGAGGCATAATTTACCGCGATCTGAAGCTCGACAACGTTCTCATTGACGCAGAGGGCCACATTAAGCTCACCGACTACGGAATGTGCAAGGTTTTGCGATAAACTTTCATTTTCATACAGAGGTTGTTGCCATGTTAAACGTTTTAATTTTCTTTCATATTTCTTTTTTTACACATTTTTTTGTTTTATCAATGCTAATTCCAGGAGAACATCGGTCCTGGCGACTTGACTTCAACTTTTTGCGGGACGCCAAACTACATTGCGCCCGAAATTCTTCGCGGCGAGGACTACGGCTTCAGTGTTGATTGGTGGGCACTCGGAGTCCTGATGTGAGTCGAAATTTAATTATTTTTACCCTTAGTAAGTTTGAGTATTTATTAGCTGTAGACTTTTAGAATGAAAAACAGGAAACGCATCGATGAAGGCTTTGAAAGACAGTTATTTCGAGCCATTATTCAATTTCTTCAACCATAAACAGAAGTTAATAAAAATTGAGCCTTGACCTCGCCTGATCATAAAGCTTATTTCATGACCAACGTCTTTCAATAAGATAAATTTTGAAGGTACGAGATGATGGCTGGACGATCTCCTTTCGACATAGGCACCATGGCCGGGAACGGCGACGAAAACACAGAAGACTACTTGTTCCAAGTCGGTACACTGGTTGAGATCTTCGAAACATCGAGATGTTCAGATAATCCTCGAGAAGCAAATCAGGATCCCTCGTTCGCTCTCCGTCAAGGCGGCTTCTGTTCTCAAGCAGTTCTTGAACAAGGTTCTGTTGGCCTTTTTATAACGAACTGGCCGCAATTAGATTTTTCGACTGAGAAAAAAGTCAAAGATGAGTTCAAACTGGACGGATAGAAAATAATGCAAAATTAGATGTTTTCTAAACTGTTTTTTCAGGACCCGACCGAGCGGTTAGGCTGCAAACTTGACATGGGACGAAGGCCTTCGCGACATGAAAGAACATCCGTTCTTCAAGAATTCCGTCGATTGGGACGCCGTACGTCCTCTTTTTTTTTGAAACTAGTTTTGCAGAGAGCGTGTAACAAATGAGTATGAGATTCAGCTTTTCAAAAAGTTTCATTCCGCTCTAATGAACTGAATCTCTGATTAGATCCCTCAAACTCTGTCTTCTAAAGAGTAATTTCGAAGCTCGACCAGCTGTTATGGAATAAAATTTACCACGTGTATTACAACTTTTCTTGGAACTCAATTTCAACATACTGAATAACAGGAGTTTCCCTGTGGCAGATGTAACATTCTGACACAAAAATGAGTCTCGACGAACCTGCTGCAAATCAGAAACGTTAATTACCTGCAGTTGCAGCTGCTGAGAGCGCCGAAATTGTGAAAAAAGCGAGATCTTTTGAAAACTTCCTCGTTCTTTTGTATGCTGAAGAGTTTGAAGAACGAAAATTGAAGAATTGACGAAAGTAGATAGGATTGAAGGGATCTTCCAAATTATTAGAAAAATTCGACTTTTTGCTCTGAATTTGAGTTCAAGTTTCTGATCTAAAATGTTAAAATATCACTGCCTATATATTTGAAAAAGTTAGTCTGACAGTCAGTTATTTGGACAGCGAAATTTTGATCTGGTATTTTTTCCGACTATATATGCCATTTGACGAGAAAATTTTGCAGCTGGAGCAAAAAGCAGTGGCGCCGCCGTACAATCCTTCGGTGGAAAACGACCGCGACCTGCAGCACTTCGACCAGCAATTCACCGACGAGCCTCCGCAACTCACACCCGACGATCCCTCAATCATCGCCAAAATCGATCAGAGCGAGTTCGACGGCTTCGAATACGTCAATCCTCTGCAAATGAGTCGCGAGGACTCCGTCTGAATCCCAACTTCCTTCCACATTTCCTTCTTTTCTAAGGCCTAATCGCTTTTCTGTTCTCAATCACTCTGTGAAGTTCTATCGAAACCAAAAATTTCGCTTTCGCTGTTATTTTCAAAACAGTTCTTTCTTGTGGGTGAAATGTCCTTATCTGTTTATTTCATTTTCAAACGCGCCAAATTTACTTAAACTTCCTTTCTTGTTTTCATGCAGAATATTTTGCACTTTGTGATATTGTAGGTATGGGATCGATGCGTTGTCACCCATCGTCATTATCGATAACGGTTGTAATTAACTCACTTCAGTCTGTCTTAGGTCTATTTATTAACCAATTTATCAGAGAAAAATTCCTTTCTTCGAACCGCTTCTGCTTCCCTTACGCGCTGCTCAACCGCGATTGCTTACTATTTTTCGCCGTTCCGAAGTTACGTTTGCGATGCTTTGGGATAAATTAATTTTCAATCGTTTTCTTTGGTCCTAATTTGCTGTCCAATTGAAAGTTATTGCAAAGAATACATCAAAAAAGCTGATTTTTTTTTTCCAGAATCTACAGGATTCATCCGAAAAAAAGTGAAAAAAAAAATGCTCGAAACAGTTTTGAAAGGACGCCGGCAAGACTCTGAGGTCAGTGTTCGGAAAAAATTTTGATAGTGTTTGATTCAGAAAAAAAAGTGAATGTAATTAGCATTCTGAAAGTTGATTCACTCTTTCAAATTGCAGTAAATAATTTTGAAGCTCGAAAAAACCGATGTTTTCGCTTGTTATAATTTGAGCTTGATGACTGTCCTCATTTATATTAGTTTCTAGTGAAAAATAACCTTAATTCTGGCATTAAAAAAAAGGTTTGGAGATTTTTCCGATTTCAAATAACTTCATAATTTGGAGTCATGTAACCGTCTGTTCAGATTTTAAATGGCAAGTCCTCGCTCAAGCTCCGCCTTTAACGGCGCGATGAACCAATCAGAGAGCGAGCCATCCACAGAGTGCTTTTGAATGACGTCATTGCACTTGACATTAAAAATCTGGACGGACTACATTTTCTGTTCCTTTTTCTCGCCTTTTCGTCTTTGTGGAATTGTGGATAATTCTTCCCACGCCCCCGGCTCAACTAAAATCGATTATTGGAAAAATTACGCAGTCAGACAAAAGCCACTACGAAAACCTTCTTCCAAAATTTCTGATGAAGTTTTATCTGTTGGATGCTCGATTGGATCCCAAAACTTTTTGATAAGATTTTCGGAAAATCAACATCTTCTACATATTTTCGCGTATCAGCAAAAATGGGCAGCTTCGTCTGCTTTTCTTCTTTTCAAAGAATTTCCAGTAGATCTTTCGAGATTTTCGCGAAAATGAGGCAGGGTTGTCTAATTTTCTAGAATCTCACTTTCTTTTGTATTTATTTCAAACGTTCAAAAATTGGCATTCATTAATTAAAAAAATCTGCAATATTTTCGACTATTAATAAAAAAATCTGCAAAATTTTCAAGTCGACTAAATTCTTCATAAATTGCTGATGAACGCTGATCGGTTAGTCACGCTAGTGACTAATAACAAATTAACTTTTTTTATTGCTCTTAATTAGATATTTCATATTGAGAAATTAAAGGCAAGTGGACTCAAGATGGTAACATTCAAAAGCTGATTAGTCATCGTTTGTCTTGGAAATTTCTTTGTTTTTTTTTAAATTTCTTTCTTAGAAAGTCGTCACTTTTTGATCCGAACACTGAAATTGCAAAAGCGTCGAAAAGGCAATTAATTGAACGTTTGGAGAATATTAATTGGAGCTGCAACTTTTTTTTTTCGAATTTGCCTCTGTAAGAAAGTGGGCGGAAAAATTCAGGTTTACAAGTATGAAAATATTTTAAACGTGTTCAAAAAAAATTAAAAGTTTTTGTAGATTTTCAAATATAAGTCACATCAAAATTTGAAAATATATTTCATTATGTTAAAATTATGAAAAAAAAATCGTCCCGTCAAAGTTATTTCTTGAATTCGAGAATAAGAAGCGAATAAATTATTGATGAACTGTTCACTTTGTTTTCACTCTGAACGTCCTTGGAAACCCGATCACATTTTTTTTTCAAACATTGTCACGAAAAACGTCTTGATTCAGCAGTGTTATGCCGAGAGAAGATTCGCTTCCAGAAAAATAATTCGACGTGGCTTTCCCACGAAACAAAACGATTCTTGGGAAGCAGGGGCAACATGTAGAATATCGTGACGTTTTGCGGAAAATATCAAAAATTTTCTTTTTATCATTTCGTTTGGGGTTTTAGAAATTATTTTATTGAGAAAAAAGGCGGAGAGCTCTCAGATTGTAGCGTAACAACATCCCAGTTTTACGTACAAAGGGTGGTTTTTATCCTCTCGTTAATGCGTGATGATGTTTGGTTTTTATTTTCACACATTTGAAAGAAAATGTCGTAGTGAGAAATAATAATTTAGTAAATAAAAAAACAACTCAATTCGATGGCGGCTATCTTCAAAACAAAAATGAAAGTAAAAAAAATGAAAAGTTGAAAAGGCAACTTGTTGAAATTTCTAGAAATTGGCAACTCAATAAGATTTTCCCCTATATATATTTTGTACTCAATCAATCAATTGTTTTTTTGTTTTAGTCATAGATGTGATAGGCTAAGCGTTGAAAAAGAATTTAAGCTTCAACAAACAACTCCTTCGGCGAACTAGAAATCCAAACGTGTAGTTGATCAAGTTGAAAGCATGGTTTCACGGCACTTCGTCTCTATCTTCTGTGAGTAGGTCCTTCAGTTGCACCTAGACGAGCTCATAATGTAGCAGGTCCTGTGCTGGAGCCCCGACACCGTCCACTAGAGGGAAGTCTCGGAATGAGAGCGATCCTTCCAGTGTAGAGTTTATACTGATATAATTCCCGCACAATCTAGTTCCTGCGAGTTCTTTTAGTTTTAAGAATCGTAAACTTTCATTCTTACGGGCATTTTCTGCGAAATTTACTGCAACAGTGTTCCCACACGCGCCCACCTTATCTCTGCATCTTTCTCTCTTTCTGCTCTGATATTGCCAGCCATTTTCATCTTCTCGCCCTTGGCCGTTTTATTTGACTCTCCGTTCTGTGTACCCTTTTGCTTTCGAGTTTTTTTAAATTTATTTCTGGTCACTCTGGTCTTTCCAATTCTTCGCGCTCTTTCTTTCATAGTTCCGAGTTCAATAAGTGAATTCAGCTCTAAAAAGGCCGGAAGTTGAACTTTTTGAGCTTTTAGGGCGTCGATCCACATGTTTCACGTTTTTTGAAAAAATGACTATTTTCGGAAATTAGCTCGAATTCTCCAGCTGAGTAATCATTTTCATTGTATAAACAGAGGTGGAGGATGGCTGCCCACTGGCCGCCCTGCCTGCCAATACTATCAAGATGTTTTGGAATATGCGCCCAGAAAAAATAGCGCCATACCTGACCAAATGTTTAGTACTTTTTTTTCAGAAATATGGTTTGCTCTGCTTAAAGGCATAGGGGCAGTAAAAAACGGTGTTTCAGTTCAAAGCAGTACTTTGTAGAGCTTTTTCATTGCGAGTCGAACGGTGAATTTGGAAACGTACAGAAGTTCCTAGTTTTGGAGAAAAAAATAATTCAAAGTCGGAGAGAGAAGAAAGTTTGAGTTCCCGCAAAAAGAGCGCTTTGCAGTAAAGTTGCTCTATGGACAACAGGCTTCGCCATTTTCCGGATTTTCGCTTTTTCTTTGTTTCTTAAAAAATTCCAATTTTTGTTATCATCAAAAGTTCTTTTTCGTCACAAAAGCTTTCTATTCATGTATAATTTGCAAACTTTGATCGCAAAAAGCGTTTTTTTCGTGAAAAAAATGATGATTTTACACAAGTTTCGATTGGGATAGCGATTATTTGTGTTTTCTTTATTATTGCTGTATGTTTTTTGTTTGACTAAAAGTTTTTTCAGGAAAGAAACCCTTAATTTGAGACAGAAATCCGGTTATTTCTCACAAAATGCGAGTCTAATGAGACGTCCGCAACATCGCGTGCACGACTACTGTAAACATTTGTCCGTAGGCCGATCCAAAGTTTTTCAAATTTAATGGCGGGAAAGTAAAAATCGCATTTTTTTCTTCTAAAGTTGTCACATCTGTAATTTTTGAGTACACCATTCGATTCGCAAAGAAAAACTATATAAGAAACTGCTTTCACCTGAAACCCCATTTTTTACTGCCCCTATGCCTTTAAAGAAGGTTCTCACATTCTTTTGATAATACATTTCTAAGCCCTATGTCGATAGGTATTGTGAGTCCTAAAGGTTAATTGCAGTAACGATAATCAAGTAGGTTTAACTTCTAAATGAAATAGGAAGTCTGAGGGCTTGACCTGCAGGCTTAGGCAAAGGCTTGGCCGGCACCTGGCCGACTTTCCTCTTGTATGATCCGAAAACAGGGGTCTGTGTCGAGATTGGTTGTTCCGATGATCGGAAGCTGACAGCCGGCTCAGTGCCAGAAACGGCGGACGCAGTCTCCTTCGACGTCGGCGTCTCTCCCGCCGACGGCACTCTCGTCGCCGCCTCGATCTTTGCGTTCCGTCTAGACACGACCGCCCTCTTCCCTTCCAAGAGACAGCACTTGGTCCGAACTTTTCCCTTTTTCCATCTTACTTTTTTCTCTCCGTCTACTTCTTCTCGCGCGTCTCCTCGTGTATCTTATCGGCCGCCGTCTCGCACCAAACGTTCTCGAATTTTCAAACTGACTTTCAACAATTAACTTAATGACTTATTCAAATAATTAGTACTCACTGCGCTCTTTCCTGCAGCGAAACGCTCGAAAAAAGAGTTCTCATAATACTGCAGTGTTCAGAGTACGGCCTATAAGTTTTTCTTTTTTTTTAAACTTTATTTTAACCTATCCATAATGTCGATTCTAAACCTTTTCAAGAGTTAACAAAAAGTAAACTTCTTGTGCTTGTTGAAAGATTTTTCACTCAGGAAAATCTAGTCCAGAATCCTTGCTAGTTTTTTTTAATGATGCTCTTTTAGAGACCCGGCGAATACTTGGAAAAGGCTGTAGGAAGGAATTTTTCAAAGAAAAAGAAAGATGCTCACTTTTTTTTGTCGTTTTCCGACTTTGTTTCGCTGGAAAAAACTTTTTTGGTTACTTTCGCGTTCGAATAGCGCAGAAATTCCTTCCACCGCATCGCATATTGCTCTGTTCCTATCATGAGTCAGTGTTTTGGGCAAAAAGACTTTTCGTCTTTGCAGAGAAAAAAAACCTTTTCTTTCGCTCCAATGCTTTTTTTTTCTGCCAGGGGCCGTTTCCATAACTAACCGGAAAAAGGTATTCTGCAACTTTGACTCGCCCACATCCTCTCCCTATTTTCAAAAAAAGAAATTATTATTAGCTATGATTGGTTCGTATGATCCTTCCCAGCGGGAGCAATTATCAGCTTTTCCTTGCCCTCGGTCGCCAACTCATTATCCGTTTTACCACAAAGGTCACACGCACCTTTCATTTCTGCAAATCCTCCGACGAATTGGCTTTCTCATCAGAGTGTCTCTCATGGGAGCAAAGACGATTCAAATAAGCTTTTCTTCCGTTTTTGTCACTCCCCAACAGGAAATTTGTAATTTGCGGGAATGTTTTTTAACTTTTTTTGGCTTTTACGAAGATCGTAAAAATGAAACTGACAGAATTCTTTTTTCGTATTAACATCAGTACATATTTACAACTCCTTTAATTGGAACCTGTGAAATATATCTTGATATCGCGGAAATCTTTGAGTGGCTTCGCAATCAACTCCACAAAAAGTTATGTTTCAGGGATGACCGGACGCATTCCGAATGAAGTGATCGAGTTGAGCGACGACAGCGACGTCGAAATCGATGTCGTCGGTCTGGACGACGACCCGCCACCAACGACTGTCGTCGAACAGGAATCTGAGCCGGCCTCCTTGAAACCTGGACCTCTAGGTTACTATTTTGTCGCCTTTTAGTGAATCTCTCTCTTTTTCTTCTCTCGGCTCATCGAATTCGCGCTTCCTCGTTGAGATTATCTTATTCTAATGAACTTCGGCAATTTCAAAGTTCTTGGGGATGCTGAACATCTCCTTTTCTAATTTTTTTATTTAAATTCTTTTTTTAATTTGTTATCGAGACTTTTTAAAAAGCTTGGAAAGCTCCATATATTTCCTAGATAATCTCAGAAGATTTACTTTCATTAACATGAGCTCAACACAGAAAAAAAAAGAATAAAGACTTAGAAACACATTTTCCATTTTTCTACTTGCAGATTCGGAAGCGAATAATGCCGCGGCAATCGAGAAAAAGAAGAAAAGAAACAAGAAGAAGAAGCAGAAGAAGAAGGGCGACATCGGAAGCTTGGACCAGCCTGGGCCCTCTGGCATCGACCCAAGCTCTTTGATTCCGCCTTTCAAGCCGCCTCCGCCGCCGGCGCCCGAGTTCCAATGGATTCGTATTTTTGGGTACGTTGTCCACAGAGATCAAAAGGATCAACAACAGAATCGGGATAGATGAAATTTTTGTCACTAAAAGTAGGAATGTCTCTGGTCTAAGTTCGTATGCGGTGGGTCAGCAATTGCAGTGTTTGTTTGTGTACCTGTTCAACCACGAGGTGAGAAGAATAAATAAAAACAGGGAAAAGGTGTCTAGTTACTCTCAAGAGTGAGTATACCACTTGAAGAGATAAGATAGTAATGATGACCAGCAGAAGACCAAATAGTATTCATTGTCCTGATTATTCAGATTAATTCAAAAAAAATAGTACTGGAAATAGGATCACATGAAGACTACTTCCGTTTCCCAGAGAGTCCTTTTCAAAATTAACAGAATATTTTTCCTGTTTTTTCAAATACTTTATGTAGAAGATGATGTAAAAGTTTATCAGAAAACGAAGTTAAGTTTCTTGTGAAAAAGTATTAAAAAGTTTATTTTAATATAGCTCTCTGCGTCAAATATTCTTATTTCTAAGATTTTATTAGTAAAGTTAACTATATGAATCACCATTCGTTCCACTTAAACACGGAAGTTTTTCCTAGCTTCTCTGAAGTTTGAAATCATACTTCGTCAAAACAAGGTCAAAAGTATCTAGTATGAACTTTGTGCGCGGTGTTTGTTTCCGATCCATCGGACCCAACGGCTTCGCGACGTGTAAATGTGTCGGCGCCGTCAGTCAGCCGGAGGGAACAGAGAAGTCAGAGAAACGGTCGTGCGACATTCCTTCCAGACGAGCAAAACATGTCTGCAACACTGCGCGGCTTCTTCAACGCCAATCAAAAGCTTATTTTTCGGGAATCATTTTTGATTCGGCTCAGGGGTCTTCAGATTATTTGGAGGCGGAGAGAAAGAGCGGTCAGCAATGTTTATTCTGAGAAACGAGTACGACTTGGGTGCGACTTGCATAGGCTATAGAGGTGGACGGAAGTCATGGGATTGGAAACTCCGAGCAAGGAAAATGCTCCTCTGATCGCCGAAAACCGATAGTAAGGCTGTTCAAGAAAGCAATGCATTTAATTTTTTATTTCGAAAGAAATTTGAAAGAATCTACCGAGTAATTTAAAGGGCCGAAATTTCCAGAGGTATGCATTGGGAAATTTGAAAAAATTTTTTTAGGAAGAATTATTCAAAAAAAAAAAATAAATCTTTCCTATTCATGTTGACGTGCTCGCACTTTATGATCCTTCCTTTTTCTTCCGTCAACTTTTTGCTCATTCGTAGACAACCTTATCTTCAATGGGTGCATTATGAGTACACGCGTCCTCTACTCATTTCAATAAATTTCTGAATTCGATACGGTTCCCTTGGCTTCATTTACGGACTGAAAGCTGAACCAACTGTGTCAAGCTCAAAAGTTTTCTTTCGAAAACAAGCTAATACTGTTTCGATTATATTTAACATTTGATTCAATTCTAGCTCTTCTCAAAACGCGTAATCTATAAAACACAACTCCTTTTTATCTTTCTGCGTCTGATAACGATTTTATTACAGTAGACAACGTGAAAAGAGTCTTTCTGCTGAATATTCGAAAGATAAGTACGAGAATGGGAATCGTAACATATTTTCCCACCGATGAGAAAATTATTTACGAATAGAGGAAAAGGCTCTCTCCATCTAGTCCTGCTTCAAAAAACTGTGCAAAAGAAGTTTTTGCAATAACATGTGACGTTTATAACTTTTCAGACAATATTATGTCTCACAGAGTGACGCATGAATCGACGTTTGCAGGGATGAGCCATCGTCTCAAGCCGTTCTCTGACGCTCAAAGTGAAAACGAAAACAACATGAACTTTTCGGAATCATTCCGGCGTTGACTGAAAAGTTCAAGAGCGACGCAGGCGTTGTTCTTTCGGTCTGGTAAACTCATGAGATCCGGCGCTTGCAGCCAAACACAAAAAAAAAACGTTTGCAACAGACGCTTAGCAAGTCTGGGCGCGAGTCACGCGCCTGTGACGCCAGAACGCTGCTGAGGAGTGCAGAACGGAGAAAGAGAGAAAAAGAAAGACGTTCAGAGAAATGTTCTTTGGCCTTTTTGTCTGGATGCGGCAGCATGTGGCCGACAAATGGCCGCGATTGTTGCAAGACCGACAATTTATACGAATGCACCCGGAAGATCAAAATAATAGCTTTTTGCTTCTTTTCTTCCTTTTTGTTGATAGCCCTGCCCTGCTGTAGAAAAGAACTCTGGCAAAAATATAAAAAAAAAGAAAAATCCGCGAAACTGACCGAAAAACTTTGGAGAGAATTTTGACCGACAGAAATAATGGGAATCGGATTAGATTTAGCTTATTTAAAAATTTTATACTAACTACCAATGACGAAATTTTCAAATTGAGAAATGGTGGGATAGATACTGATGTTTCATAGCCCAATCAAGAATTTCTCACTGAGGTGCTTTGAGCACTGAAAAAAATCATTGAGAATTTCAAACCAATAGACGATTTCAGATATAATAAATGAAAAAAAAAAATTCTATTTTAAAGCAAAGTTTTCAGGATGCGTTTTCCATCGCTTCTGCAGAAAGGGGAACCGATGATTCCCATCATTTACGCCCAGGAAATGTTCACCGAAAAAGATATCATGTTGGACATAGCCGCGCATTTGAGTGAGCTATTCTGAGGGGACTCGAAATGTATTGTAATCCTTTAGAACACATAGAAGTTGAAGTGGTGTTGGCGACGCCAGCCGAGATCCTGCTGCTTCGCGACAACTGCGACGATCCGGAGGTGGTCTCGTTGGTCTCCGTGCCGATGGTCCCTCGTTCGGAGCTGGAGCTCGTCATGGGTCAGATCCTGACCAGCAGTGTTCCCGTCCGAGGCGAAAGTGACATTTGGTCCGTTCTCAACGATGAATAATCCACTGACCTCTTTATAGGAATGACGACGAGAGAATCATCGTCTGCCACTACAACTTCTCCGACTTTACCACGGCTAGAGACGAGCAAAGCCCTGACATCGAGGTCTACATGGTCAGTAACCTCAACTAGGCTGTCTTTTCTCATCTATGGAAGTTTACAGGGAGCCGTCAAAGGCTGGCTTTTTCCTTCTAGAATCGGATTGAGGTCTATCAAGTGCCTGACGTGCTGTCAGAAGTTCTATCCTCCTGATTTCACATATCATCATCATTTCAACGGAGTTAACAACAAGTTAGTACCGAATAAGTCCTATTTTCAAAGGTTCCCGAGAACACTGATAAAATGCTACAAGTTAATAAAACATGAGGGAAGACTCATTTTGAAAAATTAAGCTTTCGATGTGATCCAAGTTACAAAAGAAAAAATTTTTTGAAAAATTTTTTCAATAATTTGTGAAAAAAAGACCTTCATATTTTCAATTCCAGACTCCGAACCACAAGAAACTGGGGCGCAAACAGCAATTTTTGGCATCGTTGTTTGGCTCCGGCTGGCTCTTCGAGCAAAAACCGCGACCACCACATGAAATACGCTCAGTTCGTCAGAGCAAGTCTGCCTCTTCTGTCTCAGCCGATAACCCTGGAGGAGTCTGACTCCGACGTGCCGGAGAGAGAAGAAGACGACATCGATCGACTTCTGATGGCAGCCATCAGGAAGGCCGAGGCTGAAGAAGCGGAGAAAAATAAACTCAAACAGAAGAAGAAGAAAAAGAAGAAGACTAAAAAGGTCGAAGCGACGAAGCCAGTGACTGAAGCGTCGGGACCTGACTCGGAAAATGAGCCAGAAAATTTCGAGCGAGCCGAGGCAGTCGTGCCGAGCTACACAGAGTACTATCTGCACTACGAGGACGGCAGACGCGAAGAGGCCCACATTCCGTGTACCTGCGGCAAGTGTCCTGCCATGATGAAGGCGGCCAGTCGGCCGCGCGAACGTTCCATCGAAGACATCGCGCCCTACGACGTTAGTTCTCGTTCATTTTCTGAAAGAATGAGACATACTCTCCGCAGCTGAAGATATCCAGATTAAAGTGCCATCCTATAGTGCTTTCCATTGCAATTATATACTTGAATCGAAAATTCTGAAACTATCAAAATATAGTTTTCAGCAGATATTCAGAGAAAAATATAATAAAAGAATTTGAAAGAGGTGGAATAATCAGTCACAAAGTGAATTTGACTTTTTTTCCTCTAATTTAAAGTATGTAGTTTTTGAAACGTAATGAAAAATCTTCTCACATGACAATATTATCTCGAACATAATTTTTTTCTGCGCACTTTCAACAAAAAAACCTGGCAATGAAACTTCTAATTTTCAGTATGCACCGGGAGTTCCAGTGTTCAAAGTCGACAACGCGCACTACTGCAAAGTTTGTTTTATTAAAATAAACAAATTCTGGATAACCGCAAAAAATGCTTCAAAAGGATGAAGCCCTTTCTTTACGGATGTTGGTGCAGAGTTCATGTTGATCCTAGAAGTGTTTTCAGGATGATAAAAAGTGATAGAAACGAGTAACTAAGCCAAGAATGTTTCAGTGCTGCTTCGTAGACGAAAAATATGTGCGAACGTTCCTCAAGAAGCGCGAAGATGCTGGTCTTCCGACTCATTTGGCCGAAGATGAACTGCCCTACCACCAAATGAGCGATTCTTCGACTTTTGCTCCTACGACGACCAAATTGAAGCCGCTCAAAGAATACAAAATTGTCACCAAGGGGTTCCCATCCGGCGAGAACTGGTCCGAGTACATGGGTTCGTGTTTTCCCCGTTTTTTCCCCAAAAATTTCTACCTTGACTCTGAGCTTCCACTTTCCAGAAAAAACGAGCAAGATGGCAGAAACTGGCAAGCTGGCCTCAAACGAACTCCAGGCTCCTGCCATCGTCGCCTACCTCAAATCGCAGTCCAACGCGATCTACGAATCACCCGCCAAGTCGGCGTTCGTTCCTTACTCCAAAGAGGTCTCGTTTCCTTTCAATATTATAACCTATCTTCGATTTCAGAAGAAAATCGTCGACGAAAAGCCTCAGCTCAAGCCTGATGATTTCGAGATCGAAAAACCGAAAGTAGAGTGCACCGGTTGGGACTTGATTAAGGTTATTTTAAAAACCTATTACCATCAAAGATAAATGCCGCGTCTGGCGCAAGAGAAATGCGAGGTCAGTGACGGTACATTGACAAACTCGCAAACATCTAGCGCCGGTCTCGCATTTCTCTGGGCGCGAGCTCGCATTTCTCTCGCAATTTCTAAACTTTCGAAATGCGAGGTCGCACCTAGAAAAAGCGATGTTTCCGAGTGTTTCAATGTACCGCCAGCGTCTCGCTTTTATCTCGGCGGTTATTCTTATTGACTTCGTTTTTCTGTTTTTTTTTTCTCGAAGTCGACTTTTTCAGGCCGAGCAAGAGCTGCTGAAAAAGTTACCGGACGAGGTCATCTTCAAGATGTTCGGTGGCAACACGGAAAACGTCGTGCCGCAGCCGACGTACCCTTCAAAACAGCCAGAAGTCGGAAAAGCCTTCGGGGGGAAGTCAACAGCGGCGCCGATGAACCCTCTCTACCCAACTGTCCCGCCTCTCAACCAGTTTGCCGTCACTCCGGACCAGCTAAAAGCTCTGCTCGAGGTTCCAACCTTTTCTCTCTGTTTCAATCATCCGAATAAATCAGATGATGGGACTCGAAACACTCCCGTCGATGAACGACTTCCTCATGCAGAAGCAGCTGAAGCGGAAGGCCGAAGCGAACGTCGCTGCGGCTGCTGGCGCCACGCCGAACCTCGTCGCCACCCTCGAACAACTCTCTCAACTCGGTCTTCTCCCTTCCGCTAACAATGTACGACTTGCCTGAAACAATTACAGTTTCTGTTGATGCCCCTGTCCATTCCTTTTTATTTCTTACCTATTGAAGCTTTGGAGCTTTCATCATTTTTGAAATCACATTCCATATCTAGTTCTTTATATTTTTACATGTTTTCCCTTACATATCACTGGAAAATTCCTCGTTTGATTTTTATTTTCCAGTTAATGTTTTCTAAAGTTCTTTCGCATCCGAAATAATTATTTATTGCATTCTTACTGAGACCTGATATAGATTAAATTAACTGAAGCTTCGCCTATATTGTCATTTTTTTTTTCAATCGTGATAATTTACTCTGAACCTGTAGTAGTTTGATTGGATAGCCGCACTAGAGTTCTCATAAGAGCATTTAGTTCAGTTTATTTTTTACGATTGCTTAATTTTCCATCCGTCACTGGTAACCTTGTTTTGAATACTTGTAGTTTTACAGTATACCGGTTCACCATACGTTCGTTTCATTAGTTATTTAGTCCCCCAAACTTGAATTCGCCAGTCAGTTAAAGATGAAAGTGCAGAAAATGTTCGTTTTACATTAAAAAAAAGTAACAATAAACTGAAAATCGAAAAGGTCAAAACGTGAAAACGTCTCATTATGAAATCGATTTGAATCGAAACGTCTCGATGAGTTCCAAAGCACCCCGAAGCGAGGTATTTTATTTTATTTCCCAACAAAGTATTTAGTTTAGTTCACTAAAAAGCTTTTAAAAAGCTGAAGAATGTCTTGGTTTTTATTTGTTTATAGCCAACTTATAAAACATTGCTTTTTAATAAGTAAAATTCTTATAAGCTGATAAAGTCTCTGGCGAAACTGCGGAAATTTTTTCTTCAATTATGACTCTTCTATGAATATTCGAATAAGAAGAATGAATTTCTTGTACAGGTACGCATGGCTTTAGAATAACGGCACTATTTCTAGGGTTATCAACATTTTTTTGTCTTTTCGATTTGTATTATATCGAAAATTGTTTAATGTTAAGCCTTTTGATGCGAGTCCCTACACAATGATCACGTCGAAGCCGAAAACCCTAGTCAGCACAGCTGAGCTGACGGCGCCAAACCCACATCGAAGCGAAGTTAGGACTGAGATCAAGATAAAGTTAGCAGAGGCTTAGGAGTTTCCTTCGAAACACAACAAGCCTACCATGGTTCTGAGCGTCGAGGAGCGGACCGACCAGTCGCCTGGCTACGCGTTCCATTCCGACTACTCCCGCCGTGTCAAATACAGTACGTTAGAGAAATTCAAAAACCTTTGTGCTTCTCCGGATCTTGGGATATCTTTTGCAGCGCGAATAAGAAGCAAACAGGTTGAACCTGTAGACCCGGTGGTGGAAGACACGGTGCGTGGAGAGAGACACTTCCTCAATAAAATCGAGCGTTGCAAGTTGCCTATCCGACGTATTTCATTGTAAACCTGCTTCAGGAACAAACGGCTCCAGCGCATTTGTGTGTGTCCGCTAAACGGGTCTGTCCTGATCAAGGTCTGGCTTTTTCTGTTTCTTCTAAGAACATCAGTAAAATGCTGAAACTAGGACTTTCAGGAGAAGATGTTGGGAGTCCAGGAGTTCGTGCGGAAGACCAAGCAGGTCTGTTGGATCACGTGCTGTCCGCCTGTCGCTTGTTTTCTATCTAGAGTGGATACATATCCTGAATGTTAGTGAGAGGAATCGGTTTTAGGTGGCGTTCTGGCCTCCTCGATGCGAATATTTCTTCTTTCATCAACCTTCCGACGTGCAGGCTATAGATAAGGTCGAATACGAGGAAGAGGCAATCGCGATGGCGAGCCGAAAAAAGAAACTTCAAAAGATCAAAAAAGCCAACAAGCAAGAGGAAAGGTTTCGCGGAAGACAATTGAAACTTTTTGAGACATTCAATGGGCAAAACGTGGAGTATAGGAATGGCTCATCCATGTGCAGAAGATGTGAAGGATGTCGAAGGATTTATTCTCAAGACCAAACGGAGAACAGTAA